GCTGTGCTGCATCCAGATACAGCCCTGAATGTGAAGCAGCTGACAAGCCTGCAGGACATGACTTGACTCAATGAGGAGTCAGGCCAGTTACAAGTAGGTTAACTTGGGCTCTGCTCTGCTAAACCCAGAAACTGAGCCACTCAAATGTCAAATGCCAAAAATCAAAATTTCAGCAGTTGATGTTATTTCAGATGAGGAATCATGACAGTCCTGTTTGAAAATATGTGTGTCTGAAGACCGTGTTCAGATATAGTGACCTTTTCTGAGAGACAGTTCTGTAGTGGTAATTATGTTCTTAACAGTATCATTCTTCCCTCTGATAATTGATACATTTTATGCATTACAGTACTTGGTATCTGTCAGAAAATGTTTACATTCCATATAATCTCAAAACGTGGAACTAAAAAATTATATTAGTTGTTTAAATATATGAGAATGAAGTATTTTTTTCCTTCCATGGAATATATCAGACTTGTAGTATATAAATGTGTTAAAGATCATGTGTGATCCACAGGACAGTTTCAGGCGATGATGGATGTTCCTATTCCCCTTGGCATCCTTGCATGCCACAAACTGCTAGACCCAAGGTGGTGGCATTCATTTTCAAAAACCACCTTCTAGTTTGTATTGACAGTGTGTATCCAACAGCTGCTAAAACCCCACATGTCTGCCTAGCAGACTCTGCATGGAGTCAGTATCACCCTTTTTGTGCAGGACAGATGATAGCGGCATCCACTGATATACCTTGTTACACAGGCAGATGGCATGTAAATACTTCTGAGACTGGCCAAGCAAGGAAGCCGTTACTAGATCTCTTCTGTAAAAGTGTGGTGTTTACACTCTATGGATAAATTTTTAGGTTACGAGCTTTTGCTTCCCTGAAAAGCCTTTGAATAGCTTCATGACTCTGAAGAGGCATGCAAGCCTTACACAATCTGTGTCCCTTATTCTGAGATGAGCTTACTAATTTATTGATGTCAGTAAATTTTGTCTGGGCATATGCTCATGCTTTCCAATATATCAGAAAATATGTATTTTGTATGTCCTTCTGCTATGTCTTGAGTTAAACAGTGTTCTTAGCAGTAATTACAACTGATTTGAACATACTATTTAAGGTACAATGCATGCAAAATAACATATGCCCCTGACTCTTAATAAGATGATCTGAGAATCTGAGTTCTGGTTGGCTTGAAGCAAAAGGAATGAATGAGTAGTAGAGCACTTCGTCCCTAATGTTGGAAAATGTTCAACATTTCCATTCAATATCTAATAACATTTTTTTTGAGGTCACATTAAGGCAGCCCTCTGCTCAGTGATTTTAGGAAGTATAGTAGAGCAGGAGCATAGTGCCTTTACAGTGCTGACTGTGCTTCCTTTCGTGACCTTGGTTACTGAGGTGGTTGCAATTCTCCAGTCCCCTTACTGACATCTCTAATCTATGCTTCTGGGTAATCAAATAAAATCCTGTAATCTTTCACAGTTCCTGCCTCATCTGTTCTTGTAGACAGCATTCTCATAAATATTGAATATATTCTGACTACTTCCTAGCAGTAACATAGAAGAGATGACTATAGAGTTATTCACAGAGCCTTAGCTCTTCCCTTTACTGAGCTCTTGGCTGAGACAGAAGCAAACCCAAAAGATAGGATGTATTTCAGAAAAAAAGAATCGTGTAATCTTAGGTCTTGAATGTTTATGTACTTGTTTACTTTTACAGATTATCATCTAATTTGTCTGACTTTGAAGTACAATATTAATAAATAAAACCATGAATTTTAATGACATTTACAACAAATGCATGCCATACTCATCTCTCGTGCTGTCCAATACAGTTGTATAGTGCTGGATTTATAATTCTGGTAGTGTTGCAGTTACAACATGCCAATATTTTATTGAAGTTTAGCTTAGTTCTATTTTAACACAGTTTTTGTCAGCTATATATTAAAAAAACCCTAAACAAACAACTTTGATGATGTGGATAAGAACTATAAAAATTTTGAAAGAAATGCATTGATGGGTTCATTAAGACAGCTCATGACAACTACAGTCTTACTGAGAGAGACTGCCTACCAAATTTGGGCATAAACATACAGCAATGTATGAAATTCATGTTCTAAATATTGACAGCGCACACATGAGCAACCCCACACCTCCTCAAAAATCCACATAGTGGAAGAGCTCATTCATGTAAACTAGTTTTTATCATCGATGACGTTCAGCTGGAAGTAATTAGATCCCAGTCTTCTGCTCAGCTTTATTTAACTATTAATATTAGCATGTAGCATGTGAATAAAACTTAAGGTTGATTTCTTTATGTATAGAAAGTAGTATGAAAGTATTATTTCAATAAAGGGATTGACAGACTTAAAAAAATGGAAGCACTTTTATTGCAGCGTTTTATATTCCTGCCAGTAAGCATCCATGTCAGGGGTTCCATAGATAAGGTCTAAAACAAATGACTATAAGCGTAGACCTTACATGGTAGATACTGAAGTTTACAGGTGAAGATTCAAAGGCATTTGCTAGCTTGTGAAATTTACAGGCACAATCACCTTCTATTTCCTTATGAAGCATATATATATATTTAAGATTAACCTTCTATCTTTTCTTTAATATTTTACTATAGTTTTTTTTGTCTCTCATTCTATTTGTGGCTCTTTCTTTTACTTGGTAAGAAAGCTGCTTGCCCTTCTGTAGCTGTCAATTATTTCTTCCAAATTAGAGGCAAGATCCAGCTGAGGTCCAAATAACATCAATACTGTTATACCAGAAATTAGATGCATCACAGAATGGTTTAGATACCTCCTTCAGCAGAAGCAGGATTTTTTAATATGTACTTTCCTGTGTGTAAGAGCACACAGGCAGTGAAGGTTCTGACTCAGAGCATTTGCTTTCATGCTGAATTGAAAGAGAATGTCACAATATCAAAATTACTCTGTCTTCCAAACTCTAAAAAATTGGGTTTATTAAAGATAGTTTTATTTTGAAACTCTGGCATATGTGAAAGAGAACAATACATTAAAACAATATTTAATATAATGCAAAATTGACACACCCCTATCAACTAGATTCTTCTTACAAAAGAACCCTCTTCCCCCACAAAAAGTTTCCTCTAAATACTTTTGACAGGTTCTGTTGATATGAGATTTGCTTAAACTTGGATGTAAGAGTAAACGTGCCTAAAGTCACAGACTTTATCTTTTCATTCCTCTGTGTACACCCTACACCTTTTTTGGAACACCCTTCACTGAGTGCATGTAAGTGAGTATAGGACCTGTTTTATATTTATAATCTAACATACCTGCAGCATATCTGAAGAAGTGCATGTTATTTATATAATAAACCATACTTTTAGCTGCTTATCAGTATTTAGGAAAAATAATACTATTTCAGTGTTTTACTGAGCCCCACATAGTTTTATGATTATGTCAGCAGGGCATACTGTCTGCAGTTTGGTTACAGAACTGTATTTTCTAATATATTTGGTTTTCATACAGTTAGGTAGATTATGCTATTTTTTTTTGGACTGAATTACTTAATGTAAAAATTTGGGGGTTTAACATTTGTGGTGATGTAACATTTCACTAGATAATTATATTAGAGAATGAGCTGTGTTTTAATTGTGACAATAAACCAGACGTGTTACGAAACCAAGGCTGAAGGCCATGTGTTTCCAATGTGTAGAGACAGTGCAATTTTAGATTAGCAATGTACATCATTGTTGCTCTTACTGCTTTTATAGAATGGTTCCAAGTCTTTCAAGAGTGGTCAGGTACCTTTTAAATCATTTTACTGCCTGAATTCTGGCAGTTAGTTCTCTCATTCACACCTGCCCAATTGTCGCCTGTGAACTGCAGAGCAATGACTTATTATATACATTCTCGACACCCTGTTGCCATTTTGCAATAAATCAGATAAATCAGGCTGCTCATCTTAAAAATCAAGGAGTGTCTCTTATATTTCTTTAACATTTGTGTGTGGTTTTTTTCTCCAAAGGCTCACACCACTGTTAAACAGTGACAAACAGTAGATCAGCATTGTTGAAAGAAGTTACTAAATGTCTGTAGAAGAAAGAACAATAACAGATAAAATCTGACATTTGTTTTTAAACAAATCCATTTCATATGATGCTGCATATGTGTATAAGAAAAACTGAGCACCAGTTTGAAGGGACTCAGAAAAGAGTTAGAAAGGGCTAGTTTTAATTTTTTGTCAAAATTCTACACATTAGAATATATATATACACACACATATATTCAGTGGATGGCAGCAGAAAGAAGGATGAAAGTAAAGAAAAAGGAAGTGGATCTGATTGTTAAGCAGCATTACTCCTGTGTTATTCTGTAATGATGATGATGGTGTGAATTTCTGAGACAGTCTGAAACACTAAACATATTTCCTTTATAGTTTTTCTAATACTAATTCCTCACATTTTAGAGATACCTCACATAAGAGATAGGACTCCTTTTTTTTGCCAATGTGATCCAATGCTTTAAAGATGTAGTTACAAATCTCTACAGCTGAGCCATGCTGACAGGATAGTAACAGTGCTTATAGACCTGTGAAAGACTGGGTCTGCTCTTCTCACTGCTGTCATGTGCAACGTTGCTTTGTTCGCAGGGCTTTGAAGAGGAGGAAGTCAGTGGATCACTGTCTTTGAGGTGACACTGTGAAAGAAGTTCGTTTTGCTGGGATTTATTTGCTTCCTTGATAAAGGATAAAACGCTTTCACAATCCTATGGGAGAAAAAGGACTGTCCTGGGCAAGAATTTCTGTTCTAAAGTAGACAACAGTGTTTATGATTGTAGCTGTTTATAATGGCTTCTAGGTTTGCATATACGGTTAATATTTCTAGTGTTAGCTCCTCATTTAGATTGCACACCTTGGAACTTTAGTGTGTACATAGTCAGGTGTTGTTAAGGTAAGTGGAACTACACAAGTGACAAATTTGCTATATGACTGCAAGTTATCATTCACACTGTAATCTGCATCTGTTCTAGCTTCTTCAATCCTGAAGAGAGAGAAGCGGAAGAGAACAAAAAATGTCCATTTTAACTGTGTTACTGTGTATTACTTCACAAGAAGGCAAGGCTTCACCAGTGTTCCCAGCCAAGGCGGAAGCACACTGGGAATGTCTACTCGCCACAACAGTGTGCGCCAATACACGCTGGGAGAGTTTGCAATGGAACAGGAGAGGCTTCACAGAGAGATGTTAAGAGAGCATCTAAGGGAGGAAAAACTCAATTCTCTAAAATTAAAGGTAAAATTTGTTCTAAGACTTTGATCAATGCCTTATTTACCTAAGTGAGCAGTGTCAGAGCTATATGGGTCCAATGTGTGTGTTAAACAAAACCTTTTCCTTTCTATCAACTCAATTTTCAATTGAAACAATGGCATTTTTCTTTTTTTTTTTTGATTTTACTCAAGACGTATTTTTGTTCAGTATTACCAAGTGCAGTTGTAGCTCTCGTTGATGGGTACCTTGAGGTGTTTTACAGGGAGGTTGTTGTTTTACTCCCTTTTTTCTACAGAGAGGAAAACAGAGTGGTAAAAGTTAGCCTTGATGAGGGTGTCCAGCAAAAGTCTGGAAGTGCCAGGAAGAGAATGAGACTTCTGAGCCCTTGCACAGTGCCCTATTAGGCAAGGAAATGGTAACATCCTAAGTGCAGAAAAGAAACAGCTTATTTTCTTGGGAAACTTGAACAAATTTGGCAAAAAGTAAGGAACAGTAATACTAAAAATGTTTTATTTTTTCAGTGTACCAATTTATATGATCACATGTCTTTGATATTTCACCAAAGGTTGTCTGTGTTAAAGAAGAGATGTGTCAGACAAATCAACTGGCTGTATCAGTTTAGCTAGTCAGAACAAATCTTGGCTGCAGTTTTGAAGCTGTCTTTTTAAATACAGCATAGGAAAGAAACTGCGTATGTGGATAGAGGACAACGGAGAAGGGGATTGTGTTCTTGGAAGTCTTCTGCCCCTTTAAAACTGATGGCAAAACTTTTGGTTTTGTTATGTTTTTGTAGTGGATGAAACATGTCCTGTGTAATGGCTTGTGTTATATGTATTTTGGGCTCTTTTTCAGATGAATCCTGTTAATAAAAGTAACCAATATTTAGAATTGTAACCCAACTGCTGGGTGACATAGCCACTTCTTTTGTGATATTGTATCTCTGTTTCAGATACTAATACAGTTGTCCAGAGTAAACTGGCACCCTTTAAGTTTTAGAAATGCCTTTCAGCATTTTTCCCATAGAACAAAGTATGTTCATGAGTTCTATGTCTGAACTCCCAAAGAAGTGTGTATGACCCTTATTATTGTAATTATTTTTTTTCAGTATCCTAATTGTTTTTTATTTGAATAGCTAAATAGACTCTTAAATAGTTCATAAAACTGTCATACTGAAAACAAACAAACATAAAACAGCTCAGGACAAAGGCAAATGAAAGACATATTTGGACAGATCGTAAACCAAAAGCTAGAGTGTTAGTGACTTATCACTAGAGAGATTATACCTCTAAACATCTCACATCACAGGATCTTCAGAGCATCAAGTGTGAATTGAGCTGTGTCAGTGTAACCAGTGACTCTGTGTAGATCCCTTGGCTGACTTCCAGGAATAAGCTCAAAGAGAGGAATCCCCACTGGAGTACTATTCTTTACAAATAGTAAGGCATACAAATATTTCACTTTTCTTTTTATAGCTAGAAACTAAATAAAGAAAAATCACAGATCCTGTTTACCTCTAAAGATTGGATGAGGCCTTTTAGCCTTTATCTGTATGGAGTAGAGCGTGGCTCTTTGTGCTTTCATATTTCTCCTCTTGGCTGGGTTGGATCTCCCTTCTTCATTACCTAACTTACTTTACTCCAGCCCACGCTTTTTTTGGGACATGGACTCTACTTTCTGCTCCTCTTCCAAATACAACATGTTCTCCACAGTCACTTGTTTGAGTGGATAATAATGTTTACTGTGACTGTTAAGTTCCTGCAAAATTTCTTCAGAATTATTCAGTGAATAAGGAAAAGCCTGATTTGCATTTCTCCCTCTGTCCTAATTTTAATTGTTTCCTTTTACCAAATAGAGAAGTCATTTCCCTTACACTTAATTCAGCAGTGGTGGGATACTTTCTTTGTTGGAAAGTGGGAAATTATGGGAAATTATGTAGTAAACTATTATATAGTAATTATATAGTAAATTATGATTTGTATAGTAAACTATGTGGGAATAGTTTAGCAGCATGTTATGAGACTTGTAAGTTGACTCTCCCAAAAGCAAATCCAGGACTCACTGAATTAGGGGAGAGACACTGTAAAGCACTGAGCATGTTTTATTTACTTAAGACAACTGGGCGTTGCTGATTTTCCATTATAAAGATGGATGAGCTGCTTGGTCATTCACACAGTAGCTGAATGAACACAGAAAGGAAACGCTGTAGCGTTCTGACAGTGTAAGCAATTATGATTTTAATGAAAATGTACTAATCAGGATTTGAATCAAAATTACTGCACCTCTGCACAGAAAACTGAAGAAAATGAGAAAATGAAGTAGGACAAGGTTTGATCAAAAAGGTTTTTCTGTTTGAAAACCATTATGCAAACAGAAACTAACATTTTCAGTGTGGTTTTCTATTTAAGTTTCCCTTTTTTTTTTTTTTAATATTTTGCATTGGATTAAAATATGCAAGTCTATGTAGAAAGTGTTCTCTCCTATATAATTTATTAAAAAAAAATAGAAATACAAGAATATATTGAAATGGAGTCTCCATAATATTAGTACTATTCATTATTTTACTTGCTAAAAGTGAAGAACCAAATAAGAAACTTCTCTTAATTAAAAGCAGATAAAGACTTTAAAATCATCTTCAGGTCAGCTGAGACATTTAGGACCAGCACTTTGGTGTAAACATTGCTGACAGTGGCGTAAACACTCGTTAGCAGAAGAGTGTGAAAATTGTAATGTCAATCTGGACATAAAAGCCATCTTGTCAAGATGAAAGGTACAAGGTAGGCTTTACTTTAATACGTTGACATTTGAGAAAACATTATGAGTAAACACAATAAATTAGCTGGAATAGTCCTTATTGCTTACTCATAATGTCTCCTCAAATTAAGATCGGTTAAAATGATTAGCATGACCCTATGATGTTAAGGTTCCCGAGTCTGTGGACACAGTTGGTTTCCTGTGTAGGAAATTGTAAAGAAAAATTTCCAGATAGGGCAAGGAAAAGTGTCTCACCTAAATTTTTCACATTTTACAGAGCTGAAGTGAATTTCACCCAAAGGCTTCACATATTCATTGGCCCTTGCCTTGTTCTGTTGTTACGACATTAACCTTTAGCTTTATGAGAGGAATTTTACCCATCTACATACTAAGTTTAATTCAGATGAGCAATATTATGACAATCAAGAGAACTCAATGTTCCCCTGAAGTTCTGTATTGGAAAATGTATTTAATGGATCTTGGTAGTCTTCCTGCCCCTGTAGTTACCCAATTACTTGTTTGAGAAATGTTTGAATATTTTATTTCATTAAGTAATTTCTTCTTTGTGTGACAAAATTGAGAAAAAAAAAAAAAATCAGAGGACACAACAAGGAAGTCATTCAGCAGAGCAGTCAGGAGCTAAAGTGCTTTGAAATGGCAAACTGCTCTCTACTCCCACTCGATGCCCAGGCATTTGATTTTACAGCCTGCTGTACACATACAGCATTCAGCACATGCCTGGAGCCTGTTCCTTGATGCTCCACCACCATGTAGCAAAGCAGCTGAGATTTGCAGGAGAAGGAGGAGGAATACATGGCAGGTGTGGTGTGGTGTGGTTCTACAGGTGCCTTTGTAAACTGAGCAGTTACAGCATTCACCTTATGGGTAAGAGGCCTGAAACCTAATTCTTATTTTATAGTAATTGAATAGAATACTAAAATAATTACAGAAGCAGGGATTAGAATTCTTCCCCTTCCCCCATTTCAAACTTAAGTTCTGATAGGCAATTAAATAATAATGATCTGCTTAAGGAGTGGTTTGAGCCTTGTGTATTTAAAACTAGAGAAATTGGAATTCTTAGGTAGGTCATTTTCCGATTCTATAAAACAAAAGAAAGCAAATAAACATAAATACACTGTACTTAGTTGTACCTAGCTAACAAAAAATGAAAATATATAAAAAAATAAGGATGTTATTCTATATTTGAACATTCCAGCTGAGTTGCAAGTGTAGTGGAGTCATTCCTCCCAGTAGCTTCAGGCAACTAATTCAAGATGCATTTAATCACTCTGGATTTACCTGTGTCACACTGTAGATTATACAGAAAAAGGATGACTTCTTATGTTGTCTTTCCTACCTTACTGAACTAATACATTGAAATACCTGGTGTAAATAATCTCTCCGTTGTCCCAGGGCCAGGCAGAACTGATCAGGGAGCTATTACCTCCCCCTTCTTCTACCCACTGTAAAGTGAAATGAATAATACAAAATAGAGTAAGAAAACAATCTGAAGGAAGTTTGAGAGGACATTTTGAAAATGCCTGCATTTAAGATGAAGAAAGAGCTTAGAAATATATGCAGATAAAGGGATTTGAGTGTTACAGGTATAACAGGCATAGTTAAATAAACTGAAACATGAAATTAAATGAAGGCACTAAACTCCAAAGTCTGGAGTTACGGAAAAAGATTGAGAATACACCGAAAAGAGCAGGAAACAATAATGCCTATAAAGTGGAGTTGGGGAAGTTCAGAACACTTCTGCATGAACTAAATACCATGCTGAATTGCTAAGAAGGGATGATTACTGATCTCAGGATAATTTTTCTTTGTGCAGTGTAATGTGTACATGTACACTGTATGTAAGGACTACCAGTCACATCACTGAGACTCTCCTCCTTCAAAGGGAAGAATATTGCTTTTAACCTGACTCTACAAGTCAGGAATACTTAGGTTTTGGTTTTTTTTTTTTTTTTTCTGTGATTGTCTTACAAATTGTTGTAAACACAAAACTGCAGTTACAAAGAAGAGTAAGCAGTCAGTGGGAATTCACCATCAAGTAATTCAGTAATGCCATAAATGACAGTTACAATCCAAAAGATTGTGGAAAGGACAAACTGATAATATAAATGGAAAAATGAAACAGTTGGAAATATAATAAAAGCAGAAATAGTGGAATGGGTGAGTCAGAACTGCTTTCTTGTATATAAGAAGCATAGCTAGATGGAGATGACAGGATTTAGTAGCAGAAAAATAGGGAGTTACCTTTACAGTGATAATTGTTAAATGTCTAAGCACTGAAATGCACAAGAAACAGGCAATGGTAGTTACAACTTCAGTATTTTATCTGTATTTAAAACTGGTGTCTAAAAATTTATTTGGGATAACAAGCCAAGCTGAAATTTTATTCAAGCAAATAAGGCAAAACAGAAAGAATTTGAATGGCTATTTTTCTGTAGGTAAGAAGTCATGGTGATACCCCTGATGAAACTATTAATGCAAATGAGACTTGAGACTTCACCAGTCTATAATTAGTTATCACATAGTTGCACCATGTTTTTTTTCACAAAAGTATGAGACCAGGTGCTTGGCTAGTATAAACCATGACCCTCATCAACTGAGAACATTACATAGAGCAGGGTGAACATTGGGCATCTGTCTGTTTGCTTGTTTACTTTTCCATTTTAGGCAAAATTATTTCATAGAACAGTAATAAAAGAAAAAGGTTTTATTATATGACAAAATAGATCATATAACTGCATTTGCTTCAAGTTTGCTATGTAGTACAATGCTCAATCTGAGTAACTTGAGACTGAGAAAATACATTTTTTGTAATAAATGTCATCTTCTCTCTGAACTTTGTTTTAACAATCAATATTCTTTTGGTTCTCAAGCAATTTTCTTTGTAGAAGAACTTTTATAAACCCTGTGGTTGTGTTATCTGGCAGATATAACCAGTGAGCTCTACCATGGATGGGAAGATTAACCTTTCCTCAGTGCAGTAATTTTTTTTTTTTCTTTTCTCCTTGAATATATACACCCCTTTCTATGTGAGGTGCGTTACGAGAGTAGGGTACAGAAGTATGCTATCTTATGAAAGTGGCACTGGATGTTTGTGCTTGATGCTCATGGCCATTTAATTTTAAAACAATATTTGAAAGGTTTGAGAGCTAGACTATACATGGGTAATAATATAGTGCCGTGATACTTGTATCTACAGAGGCTCAGAAATTAATATCCTGAGGAAAGGAGCATGAATCCTCTAAAAACTTTTCTCAAGATCCTCCACAAGAGGTTCACAACTTACTTCCTCTTTTCTAAGTTTATTCATTCATTAACTACTTAAGAATAATCTGGACTGGTTAGGGAAGTACTAAAATTGGTGACAGCACAAAGGTAAATGGGTTATTTTCAGGACCAACAACTAGGAAGAACTTCAGAAGAGTTATATGCATCAGCGCTATGAGGTACATGGCAAATGAACGTGAAGTAATGTAGGTAAAGGGACAAAGTGAAGTGACTTCTTGGCTTAAAATTGTCAACTCAAGAAGCAAATATAGGCATCTGCCCAAACGATTAAGTGGAAATACTGCTTTGTGACCTCGGCTGTACAAACATCAAACATCTTGTCAGGCTAAAGAGGAACAGGATTGTGAATAGCACATAAAATACACCATTTTACAAATCTGTGATGCATAATCTGAAACAGTGTTGGTAGTGTAATTACTATCTCAAAAAGAATGTTGAAGAATTTCAAAGAGCCCAGAGACAGGAACCAGAATTGATTCAGAGCTCAAAGATTATCTTCTAAAACAATACGGAAAAGACTAGAATTTTAGAAAGGCATGAGGTCTGGCACACAGTGACAAATGATAAAGGATATAAAGCACAGACAGGAAATTAGAAACAGAAGAAAAAATAGCCTCATGACAAACATGAAGCTAAAAATGTGTATTTAATTCGCTTAATTCACTTCAATTAGATGTGAAGGAACTGCCTTTTCACCCCATCTCTAATCGTATTCTGGAACTTGCAGTCACGCAGCATTTTTACATGCAGCCTTCCACATTCATAATGCATTACACATACTTACATCTATGACATGTATATATGTATGAGTATAGTTTAAGGACTTTGTTCTATGCAACAGATGACAAAGAATGGTACAGTGGAATCTGAAGAAGCTAATACGCTGACACTGGATGACATTTCTGATGATGATATTGATCTAGACAACACTGAAGTAGATGAGTACTTCTTTCTACAACCCCTGCCGACAAAAAAGCGAAGGGCATTGCTGCGAGCTTCTGGAGTGAAGAAGATTGATGTGGAAGAAAAACACGAGCTGCGAGCCATCCGCCTGTCCAGAGAGGATTGTGGCTGTGACTGCCGTGTGTTCTGTGATCCAGAAACTTGCACTTGCAGTCTTGCAGGCATAAAATGTCAGGTAAATGTCTATATTATTATCGTTATTTAACTATCAAGGGGAGGGAGAAGGGGGTGTGTGCATGCACACGCATGTATTTTTTGTTGTTAAAGTTACAACTACTGGAAATTAATTAATTATTAGACAATAACACTTGTGGATCTCAAACCATTTTTTTAAGGCCCAGATATAAGAGCATACAGTATGCATTACAAACAATCTCCTTGAACATCTTTATTTATTTTATGATTGGTTTAGGCACATACATTCTTTAGTTGGTTGTTTTTTTTTTTTTTTTCTTATACAAATATTCTGCTCCTCATATTCCTCTTTGGCCTTTATCTAAATATGCAGATGCAGACAATAGAAGAATCAGTAGCCTGCAGATTTCAGAAGGGATATTACCTCTTATTTTAGAGGCAATTCAGATACTGTCTAAATGTGAATTATAGTCCAAACTCACTGAGAAACAATAAATGACACTCTGTGGTACTGTCCTTTATTTAACATGCATGATACTTAAAATGCATGCATGATAAATTTGCATGTAGACAGTAAAAAATACATCTGCTAATATTGCAGGTAGTTTTTCCCCTGCTGACTGAAAAGATACTTTATATTGTACATTTACACTGTCGTATGTACAGCTGCAAATGTCCCAAAATGTTCCCTGAAAGATGTTTCCACTATTTGTCCTGAGTCGTCGTTATGTAGCTGAGTTGATTTCTTTCTGCATGCATTTTTCATCATCTCTTAAATCCAAGCTAAACTTTCTCTGCTATTTTAAATAATACATTCTCTTTCCTGTTCCTGTTTTCATCTTCACGTGGGCAGGATGTACTAGATTGTGCTACATGGTTCTCCTCTGCATCGTATTTGTTGTTGAAGTATTACAGTGTAGATGAAAATCATAGACCTTAAGCTATCTAATCAAACTATCTATCTAATGTGGATTCAGTCACATTTTTAGAAATTTAAGATGGCTATTATTAGATATGTAAGTTTTGCCCACAGTCTATTGAGCTTACAATATTGCATCTACAATTGACTGGAGTATCTTTTAAAATGTATTTGAGATTTTTATTCCTTCTTTCTGTGGTCAGATGCTCCCACTAGCAACTTTATATATAATTTTTGTTGTGAATATGTTTATAGTTTCCATGATTTTTACCAAATTTTAAGATTCTTTCTGGTAATGCATTTGCCTGGATTTGAGCACAACAGGAAGTAAAGATGTAGCAGATCCGTAAATAGAAAAACTACCTATTTTTTGTTCCACTGTGTAATGCTTTCACCTGTGGAACAGAAACACATTTTTCCTGCTCTGCACCACTGTTACATGTGTGGGTGCCTTGCTGCTATCACTAGCACTGAATTCCAGGGCTAACACTCTGAATTACCGTTAGCCTAGACTATTCTCACAAGAACTTCTCAAGGTGAATCCCACTTCACTACTGTATTTCTCTAGGCTGTCTAGGTTCTGTCATATCACCAGGTTTACGCTACATATTGTTAATGTGTATTCTTTTTTTTAAAAGGTGGATCGTATGTCTTTTCCATGCGGTTGCACTAAAGAAGGGTGTAGCAATACAGCAGGTAGAATTGAATTTAACCCTATCCGTGTACGGACTCACTTTTTACACACAATAATGAAACTTGAATTGGAGAAAAATAGAGAGCAGCAAGTTCCAGCACTAAATGGCTGCCACAGTGAGATAAGTGCACACGCTAGTTCTATGAGTCCGGCACCCCATCCAGTTGAATATTCAATTGCAGAAAATTTTGAGATTGAAACCGAACCTCCGGCTGCGGTTATGCATTCTCAGTCAGCCGAGGACTTGGACTGCCCAGGGGAAGAGGAGGAAGAGGAAGATGGGAGTAGCTTTTGTAGTGGAGTTACAGATTCTAGCACACAGAGTTTAGCCCCTAGTGAATCAGATGATGATGAAGAGGAAGAGGAAGATGAGGAGGAAGATGAGGAGGAAGAAAAAGCAGATGATTTTGTAGAAAGCATAGGCTCCCATGGTGATATGGTGCCTCTTCCTACTGTCCTTTGCTACTCTGATGGAACCGCTGTGCATGAGAACCACTCAAAAAATGCCTCATACTATACTAACTCTTCAAATCTGTATTACCAAATAGAGAACCACGTTGCTGGCACTGCTAACCAGATCAGTGAGACTTACTCAGAAAGGGATGCTGTCAAGAACGGTAGTCTTTCTCTGGTGCCTTACAACATGACTTCAGAACAGTTTGCTGACTACACACGGCAATCAGAGGAAACTTTTAGCAGCCCTCATTACCCTTCTGCAAACCCCTCGGTGATTGTTTGCTGCTCATCTTCTGAAGGTGACGGCAGTGCTCCATGTAACAGTTTATACACTGAGCACAGGCCAAGTCACCCTCAAGTGGAATTTCACTCATACTTGAAAGGTCCTTCTCAAGATGGCTTTGTTTCAGCTCTGAATGGCGACAGTCGTGTGCAAGAGCACCCTGCTGAGAATTCGCTAAACCTCCCAGAAAAGAGCAGACTGCACGAAGAGTGCATCAAATCATCAGTGGTAGAAACGGTACCTGTTTAATATATTATTCTAGGACTGACTTCCTGTATTGAAATGCACTCACATTGGATTTCCTAGAATCTTACTTTTTTAAAAGGTAGATAACACTTGGACTATGGTCAATGTTCCAGACACATTTTGTTTTCTCAAGCTACACTGGCAGTGGTATTGCACAAAAACAGTTCATGTAAAGATTTAAATAAAAATAATCAAACTGTCTTTTGATAAAAATGAAATGTGTAAGTAAAAATGCACCCAACATATTTCAAAGTAGCCTACCTATGAAACTGTGTGAAACCTGCCAAGCTATCTGAATCAAAGCTTCGTGTTTTTGATTGTTGGGTCTGTGCAAGATTGTTAAAAATGATAATTTGAAATAATCATGGTTAGAGTCCTAAATTTCAACATATCTGAAAAGATGGTAAGTTTAATGTAAAAGTAACTACTGTACAAAAAAAGTTTTAATTGTTCTGTAATGTATGTATTTTATTTATGGTAGTTTAGTACTCATATTTTGGTAAAAATGAACAGCATGTTCATTTGAGCAGAAGATCCATAGCTAGGTACAAAGAGCATGTCCACTTTTCATCTGGAGTACCTTTTATTCTTACCTTTTTTTTTTTTTTTTTAATACCATTTCTGGTAAATTATCTTGAAATGCATTTTTAGCGTGTACTTCTCTCTTTTACTGTTCTTGACAAACAGAAGAGTCAGAAAGGGGGCATTTACATCTTCTAGAAAGGTGAAAGGTAGACAATCCTCCACTAAAATTAAAACCAGTGGCATTCCAGAACTAGTACCCCCTCCCCAAAGAAAAATGATCTTTTATATAATGGCAAAGCAGTAGCGTAAGCTTGCACAGCACCTTTTAGCCCAACAAACATTCTGATACTTATGCACTTTAGTGCCATTTTGCAGTACTGTATTAACTGCGGGAACTGTGAACTATTTTGGAGAAACGCCATAGCTCCAGACTCTGAGGTGTATGTAAGATCTTAAAATTCATTGTAATAAAACCTGTACTTTTTTCCCAAGCCAGTTTATGAATATGTCAGTAGGTAATTTAAAAACAGTCGTGCTGATCAAAGTTTATATGAAGCATGGAAAAAATTGTGGAAGTGTCTAGATTTCCTAAATATTTAGCAGTTTTTATGAAATACGAGACTGGCTTTTGTGGACTCCTGATTGTATCTCAAATTTACAGTCATTTGGTCTAATTAGGAACCAGTAGATTCACTGAGGAAACATAGCTTCAGAAGTTTTGTATCTGCTAAAGTTGCAAGCAAAATACCACATGCATCACATGGATATCCGTTACTTTGTACTTAATGTGTTTTTAAATGAAATTGAGTTAAAATACCTGCTGTATCTCAACCTTTAATTTATTAATCAACCTTGCTTTCTTCTGGGAAGGGAGGTTATAGGAATCTGATAATTCTGCACTGGCTTACTTTGTTTTCAAAATCTATTTTAACATTTTTGTTCTAATACTAAGATTTTATTTATTTTACACCAGGTGGGTTGAAATGTAGACCTGTCTTGTTTGTCAGAATGAGGATCAGCATCTTAGTTTTTATCTGTCAAATCTAGGTGGTTAACAGTATGCATGTAAACACAGTGTAAATTATAGCTCTGTAACAGTGACTCTTCCGATTAGAAGCTCTTTAAAACATCATGTACAGTACTCCAGTAGAAAAACTGCCAGATTTAAAATACGCTTTCTAAAAAAATAAGCTGACCTAATTGTTTTTAAATGAAATCTGGGCAAAGTGATTTCTCATTTTGATGCTAAATTAGCAAAATATTTTTACTCCATGTAGTAGCTGGAAAGGTTTTTTATTTACTTGTTTCCACAAGAAGTCCTGCATGTTTTATATGAACTGCCTTGAAAAGTCTTAGTTCTCTAGGGACTGGATTCCACACTTGCAATGTGTTCCATCTCCTGGCAAAGTGCAGTCATGGTTTTCTGGCTCAGCAGTTCCTTAGCCGCTGCTCCTCTTAGTCACAGGATGCTCTTTCTCGAAAGGCTGTGTAGCCAGGTAAGCGCATGTATTCTACAATTCCGTACAGCAAATACCCATCTTTATTTTTAAAGAGAAACATGTTAGTTCATAAAGTTCTGCATCTAAGAATAAGAATAATATTATTCTGTTCAAGGTACTCTATGGGCAAATGTAACAAGTCTCTGTGTATATAGGCATCCTGCATTAACAGTAGGCTTAAATCTGGCACTCTTACTCAACACCAGCACCAAAAGCACAAATCCCTTCTACTTGAGCTGGGACTCTAGCTGTGAATCAGTAGCAGCTTTTTAACCTCAGAGTGTGTTGGAGTGCACACTCTACCAGGGTATTTCTCTCAGGGGAAAGTTAAATTCAATAGTTTGTTTCATTATTCACCCCCTTACTGAGCAATAAGAAATTATTTTCTTGGCCCCTGTGCTTTCACGTGTAAAGTATCTTTAATAATATTAACAAGCACAGTAAGTGATTATAAAATACATCTCAGCTAGCTTTAAAATACTGAGATTATGGTTATTTAGTATTTCCATTGGCACAGGCTTCAGACCCCAGGCCTCCTTAATATCAGCATCTGTATAACCTTCTGAGTACTTAGATGCATATGTTCCACGCCACTAGGGCATCAGGGGTGAATACAGCTAAATTCTCTGCAGTTTGCAGCTTGTAATAGATAGGGTAGAGAAAGCAGTGACTATATAAAGATCTTGTGCTACACTATTTTCCCTTATTTAAAGTATCTAATTCATGGGAATCACAAAGTAAAATGTGCAGAATAAAGATATATGTTGAAAAAATATTCTTAACTAACTGGTGATAATGTAGATGGTGATGCCTTCCCTTTGATCCAATCTGATGTTTTGTGATCAAGATTTGATCTCAGGATACAAAGTAAACAAACCCTGTTTAGTTCTTGCAACAAGGTAGAAAGTCAAGTCTGTTTATAATTCATGGAGATTTCCTGGTAGCTATACTAATAATATCAGCAAGCCTGCTAACAGAGATTAGCTCATACTGAGGAGAATAACCTCAGAAGCCTCTTTTTTCAACATAGGCTAAACCTGTTTCCCAAACAATTCCATACCAGCAAATAACAAAGCTAAGGCCTCTTCTAGTGTGTATAAGTTGACTAGAGTGATGGGGAAAAAAAAAAAAAAAAAGGTCACAGCCCTGACCAAAACAGATTTAACTGTGAAAGCCAAAAAATTTTAACTGTGAAATCTAAAGTAGGATATAGAAACCAGGTGGGAGTCAAGATTCCCACCCCTTGATTAGACTGATGATTTTTTTAGGAAAAAAAAAAAAAGTAAGTACTCTTCGTATAAGGAAAAATAAACTTTAATCATGGGATAGTAAATGTTTTAATGTTATTTTCTGGGCTGGTATGTAATAATATATAATGTGTCCCATTTCCCAGTTGGTTAATATTCATGTTGATAACCAGCCCTTTCATTTTGAGTAAGCTTATTTCTGCATGATAAAAGTATTATGTTACTAAATGATAAACAGCAGTACTTGCTCTGTATCGACACAGTATATCATTTGTGGAAATGTTTGCTTTACTGGTAGTTGTATCACCTTTCTTTCCCAAGATATCTGGCTACTGCTAATCGCTCCTAAGAAGCCAGGTAATAAATTGGTAGACAGTTTATGATTACACTACATAGTTCAGAAAAATGAGTGATAACAAAAGCATTTCCCTCTGTTAAAATAAAACAGAATTTTGACAGAGTTGATCACCGGAACAGCACCTAAAACTGGATGCCTTTTTGCCTACAATGTGAATTTTGCCTCTCGGAAAAAATGCATTGTTAAAGGTTATATATAAAGCTTTAACTGATGTTCAACATGAAATTAGAACGTAATTAGAACATAAAATTGCAACAATTACAATTGTTCCCTAAGAGTTATAACTCATGCCCACTGCAGCATCTTTAAAAAAATTAAAAGCTGGTCCGTAAAACTTACTAATATTTTTTTTTTTTAAATAAAAAAAAATATTTGATGAATTGTATGCCATTTAGATCAGAAGGTTCTAGATTTGTAAAATTTCTCTGGTTTTCATTTACAAAAGTTCCTGCTAGTGAATCATAATTTGACATTTATTTATTCACGTCAAGGCCATTGTTTACACAGTAACCATCACTTGCTATAAATATGGTTCAGCCGCCTCTCTGGTCTGTTAACTGGGTCGGTTAACGATGTGATCCTGCCTTTTGTGTGCATTCTGCAGAAATTGCATGGAATAGTCACGGTGTTGTTATTCACTGGGTTGCTAACTGATCCAGATCCAGTTTCTAATCTTATCTGGGTATTGTATTTCAGTAAACGTGCTAACAAACTGATCATGTAGCATTCCCTGCCTCACAGTCAGGAGGATAACTTCACGAAACACAGCTTGTTTAAGATTGTATACATACATTTGTATGCAAGCCAGAACATACATTATGTTTTTTAATATTTCAGATGTTCTTGACTCTCTGATAGAAATGTGATACACTGGATAGAGAGTATTGGGCTCAGAGACCTGGGTTCTGTTGACTTTGCCTTTGTTTTGCTGTGTCGCTTCTGTTCTCTGTGCTCTGGTTTCTAAGGTACGTGGAGATACTGTGATTAAAAAATAATTCTATAGAACAGGCAAAAATCCATTTTTTCCCTCTTTTTTTTGGCATCATAACTATATTTTTGTACTGCAAACTAAGTCACTTTCCCAGTAAAGCCCAGTCCAGCTCAGAAGTGAACAGAGATTTTTTCGCCAATGTGAAACAGCATAAGCAAGCTCTCCTTTCTGTGGACCGGATTAATGAGCAAAAGTTTAATGATAAATTTCACAGTGAAAATTAGAAAAAAAGCTGTGTTGAATATACAACATTTACCTGTCGAGTGCTTAACATTTGAGCAGCAAGATTGTAGTTTGCCTGCAACACCATTCTCGCCAGCAACAGGCAGTCTTACTGCCCTGTATGCTGTCTTCCTTTGGCAGCTGAATTCTCTCAGTTGAAACTCTTTGTCTAGGCTGCTCCTGTGACAAAGCATGTGCCCTTACTCAGAGCTAAAGCAAGAGAGACCCGTGATATTGTTTTAAAAGGCATTTGCTAAATAAAGAACTCCTGTGTTGTAGCTCAGGAGTTGTATAAACTCATGTTCATTTTGCCAGTTGTTCAATTTCCTGAAGCAGTCAGGAACAGGGATGGAAGAGGATGATAGGGGAAATCCTTAAATGTTTAGGGGTGTTATGCTTTCCCACCGAGGCTAAAGAGTAATTCTGTCATCTACTTTATTATAATTGCAGAACGTCTGATGTAAAATACTTGGAAAAACTAGAATTAACTCAGAGAATATATTCTATAGAATTTATTTCTAAAATACTAAATCTGATTACTATTTTTTTAAAATGGTAGAAAGCTACTGTTATTTTCAAAACAGAGTCTAGTTCATTAACATGTTCCTTGATATGAGAAATCTCAACATTTGCTTTTTCAGTGTTTCCAATTTTTTTTTAAATATTCCTTAATTTTGCTGTTCTCTGTAATCACTGTCCATGTGCAAATTATTAATTGTCCATTTTCTCCAAGAAGTGTGAAATCCAAAGCATGAACATTGTGAAGTGATGAACAAGTGCAATGTAGTTGTAAAGATGTCTGAGTGAACACATGCCTGAGTTCTTCATAAGTCCTTCCTGTTCACTGTCTCTTCCCACTCCTAAATCAGAGGCAGCTTTTAATTTTGTTGCTAATAAATGTGCCAGAGTATTATTTTCACTTAAGGATGAAAGTTATAATATTCTTGAGAACTTTCTGCTACCCTAATGGCTGACACCAAGAATTTTACTTTTTATAAGAACATCCAATTCGTGAAACATCTGTTTTGCAGCTTTAGTCTTTTAAATTCCTTCCTCCTGTCATCTTAGTGTCTGGAAGGGCTTGTTGTACAGTAAGGCTTTTCATTAAAATCAAGCATGAGGGCGACTCTGGTGTCCTCTGGGCTGTCTGTCCTTTATTTTGCCAAACAAGTTGTTGTTGGTTGGTTTTGGGGTTTGTTTGGGTTTTTTTGTTTGTTTGTTTTTTTGGTTTTTTTTTTTTTTTTCACTTAACATTAGCATGGAGCTAGATTGGTGGAACTGTGGTGAAAAACAGTCTCCCATTGACTCTGAATGTGAGTCAGGAGCGAGCAGGCCTGCTGGGGGGGGCGGTCTGTAGACTTGCCTTCTGCATACAGACAAACAGGAAGGACGCCTACCCCCCAGGCTGCGGGGGGGCGGCAGGGGAGCCTCCTTGCCTCCTGAGGAGCGTAGTTCCAGGGGAAAAGTGTAACTCTTGCTACAGCACAGCCCACTACAGGATGAAAATCCAAGATTAGGGAAAGCAGAAAACAGTCACTTTAGGGGAACAAAAAGTTTCCTTCTAACTACTATTATGTTGTGTTTTTTTTTTTTTTTATTTTATTTTTTTCTAATATAAGTAATAAATAATAAATTACCCTTTTATGAAGTCAAAGTGAACTAGATCTTAAAAAGGAAAAGTTAAAGTATGTATTGCTCTACTGCGATATAATCTTTGTGGTTAGGAGGTTACCTGCTACGTGGGCAGTCCCACTGACTGGAGAACCATATTCATGCTGCTCTGTACTGCTGCTTCTCAGTTCAGAAGGTGATAGTCCTTCTTCTAACGTTTGGAGACAGGAGGGAAATCAGAAGGCAAACTTCATTTACTTACTCAGTTATCTCAATTTGGATCTTAGCAATGACACTTTTGTTTTACTTAGGTATTTTATGAACAAATGTCAAGTAGAACCAAGTGCAAAGAAGTTTGTCTCACGTGTATGTTCTTCTCTAACTGCACGTTTTGAGCAAGCCATGAGGATTGGATTAGCTTTTGTCAAGGGACAGGAAAAATGGTGGAAGATACAAATGTACACCACTGTTCTAACACAAGGAACAAGATAATCGTCGTCTTGAAGGTGGATACACCCTGGAGTGAGGATAGAAAGGGCAATTTAGAGGAAAATAAGGATGAAGGCAAGAGGTAGATTGATCAGGACAATTTTTTCATCTAAAGGGCAAAAGAAAGCATTATATAGGGAAAAAAAAAAAAAAAAAAAAAAAAAAGGAAGGAAAAAAGGAAATTAAGATATCCCCAGAGCAAGGATGGAGAAGTGTATGCATGTTCACTACAAGCTTGGCCATGTTAGATCACAGTATTCTGGTATTTATTATATTTTAAATCAAACATGAACTCAGTGCAAACAGGAAATGTCATTTTTCCATACCAGATGTATACAGGCAGATATTAAATAAAAGACTTATCCAAAAGCATGGGGTAAAAAACTACAAAGCAAAGCGACACCCTAGAAGCATTGCTACCGTGTCTTGTCTTTGCCTATGTCAACTTCCAAGTCATGTTCAGTAGCATTTTAGTTGTTAACTCTGCTCCCAGGCACATGTTCTAATGTAACCAGTTTCTCAGCTAACAAGAGACACTGAAAGCAAAGAAGAAATAGGTGGCCTTTTTATTAGCATTTTAGCTTGGGATTTGCAAATGAGACTTGATATATGATGGCTAATTCTTTTAGGTTTCTCCATCTTAAACTTTTTAAAGATGTTCCTAAGAATGGCATTTTGGGTTGGATTATGGGTGAAGGTCAACCTTGCTGGGGTACTGGGGGATTGCTGTAAAGAGGCAGCCATCCATTTGTGAGTCTCTGATGTATAGATTGAGCAGGAGTTTTCAGCTTCTTGAAAAGATTGCACCATTGTGTGCACTGGCAGCTGTTTCTCTGAAAACAAAACCAGAAGCAAGCATGCTGTTTTTTCAAACCATTTCACACAAATACCACCACCTCAGTTCTCACATAACAATGCCCATGTAAACAGTGCTTAACAACTGGGCCCTTTTAATCGACTGATTGTAGGCCCTTCTATGGAAATATGTCTGAAGTGTAGTTTGTGAAACGTTTAAAAAAGTGTTTGATGTAAAATAAGCGCTAGACATTTAACAGTGCAAAAATAGTCAAAATCTGTAGATTACAAAGCCGTTCCTAAGAGCCTCAGCCTGTAATACTGTCTTAGTAAAGTCCATCTTTTAAGTTAAAATGCATTCTGGTGTAGCAACCTTTTACAAATAACATTATTAACGCAAATGTACTGGTTAATACCTGTCACAGTAAGACATGGCAATTGGTTATTGTGATTTGTTTCCATCTACAGCTAATAGATTGCAATTTTACAAAAAACACAAAACCAACACTTACTACGTCTTTTGTTTACAGTGTTTTCATTGTTTTAACAAATACAAACTACATAACATTTACACTGTCTAGTCCATCCCAGTCTTTTAGGAGGTTCATCTCTCTCTGTATATATATATTTCCCCATAAGGATATAAAATTGCTTTTGAAATTTTTGTTGGCAAGTGGTAAATACACCACAGCATGGATTCAAAAGCACTTAAGTTGATAGTCTTTCAGACATGTAATCCATTCAAATGGGACTAGTAAAATTGTGGTGTAATTGCAGCCATTTGTTTAAAATTTGTACGTAACTTCTGACTTTAATAATTTTTGAGAAAAATAATTATTTTAAGTACTTAACATTTTCCATTACAGATAATCTTTCATACTTAAATTATGGAGATCTCAACAGTAAAGCAACATATTTAATTGGACTGCTGCTTTTAAACTGTTTGAAGAGAAGGGAAAGAACATTCATCTTAAAATCTGTACATGGAAATAATTTTAAACTTCATGAACTACACATTTCCTTAGTTTCCTTTCTTTTTTTTTTAAACAAGTTGTAACATCAAAGATGCCAAAGGGTAATATAAGCTACAATAATATTCAACAGAACTTAACCTAGACCTTATGTTGTAATAATTTATTCAAATTAACTGTATTCTTCTGTATTTATATTTTCGGTATTTATTATGAATGATATGGAATTCGATGTATTTATTGTGGCTTATTACTGCAGTGTATATATTACAAAATGAGCATTTTTAAGTCTTAACATTAGGGTTTTTTGTTAATTAGTGGCACTTGTATCTGCTGTATTTTTATTATATATTGTACAATATATATTGTCCATTTGTTTGCAATGAAGTAAAACAGGTTTCTACGTTACATCATGGCTGCCAGTGCACTGTGCATCTTATTTCTACTATGCAGTCACTAGACATTCCTCTCTCATCTATACAGAGCCAGAATTAGGACTGCGCCTCCTCCCCCAGACTGGCAGAGCCTGTAGAGATGCTCTGTGAAATGTCAGGCATTTCTTCTGTTCCTTATAGTCTGATAGCTTAAGGAGAAACAGTTTCAGTTTGTGGTTTGTTGGTTGGTTGGTCGGTTGTTTTTTTTTAATTAATTTAATCAGCATATAAATATTTAAGAAATTAACAGAAATGCCTTCTTAGGCATATCTATTTGCCCTTTCACAATACCACTGCCTACAGTTTTCTCTGGCCAATGGAATAGACTACATGATTCATCTGCGCCTAGCATGGTGAATTTAATAATTTTGGGTATAAATTAATGAAAGAATTGTTTTCAACAACTGTTGGGAAAAAAAAAATTGCAACAGCTCTCTCTGGTGGACAGTTTGCAGTAATTTTATATAACAAATCATTCCAATCACTACAACAGCGTATAAAGCATACCGCTACATTTCAGGACAACTGCTTAATTAATTTGAAAACTGCTGATCAACATGGCTTCAATATAAAAATAATTAACAATCACAGGTCTGTGCCATCTTTTTACTTCTAATATGCATTAAAGTTGAGCTGTACATTTGTAAAAGGTAAGTTGTCTTTAAGTGTGCATTAATGACAAGTTACATATGGCTAAATTATTTGTAATTACAAAAACTGATAAATATCAGCTCTTGTTCTCTAGATTATAAACAAAAGTTCTCACAGGATTTAAGGTAGCATTTGTTTTTAATTTGTTAGAAGTTACACAGAATGGAATAGATTAAGGTGTGCTATCAGGCTGTTTTTTGCATTGTAATGAACTATTGTTACCAGTGCTGCTCCAGGGCTTGCTAAGCCATGCTGACACAGAAAGTTTTGTAAAACTGCTTTCAACACTAGTGTTCTAATTCAAGACATCAGGATACCAGTTCAGAAGTAAGAAGACAACACTGAGGTTCCGTTGTAAGTTGATCTATTAATAGTATTGATGTAATTCTAAACTCATGCTAGTGTAAATCAGCAATTGCTCCTGAGGGTGATGAAACAAACCCCTCAGGTATCGTGCATTGGTGAAGTCCCACTGCAGTTAATAATGTCACAGATTCATAGAATGGTTTGGATTGGAAGGGACCTTAAAGATCATCTAGTTCCAACCCCCTGCCATGGGCAGGGACCCCTTCCACCAGACCAGGCTGCTCAAAGCCCCGTCCAACCTGGCCTTGAACCCTGCCAGGGAGGGGGCAGCCACAGCTGCTCTGGGCAACCTGTGCCAGGGCCTCACCGCCCTCACAGTACAGTTTCTTCCTCATATCTAATCTAAATCTGCCCTCTTTCAGTTTAAAATGGTTATCCCTCTTTCTATCACTACACTCCCTGGTAAAGAGTCCCTCCCATCTTTCCTGTAGCCTCCTTTAAGTACTGGAGTCTCCCTGGAGCCTTCTCTTCTCCAGGCTGAACAACCCCAGCTCTCAGACTGTTCTCACAGGGAGCTGCTCCAGCCCCCTCATCTTTGTGGCCTCCTCTGGACCCTCTCAAGCAGGTCTGTGTCCTTCTGATGTTGGGGGCCCCAGAGCTGGACGCAGTGCTCCAGGTGGGGTCTCACAAGAGCAGAGTAGAGGGGGAGAACCCCCTCCTTCGACCTGCTGGTCACACTTCACTTGCAGCCCAGGACACAGTTGGCTTTCTGGGCTGCGAGCACACGTTGCTGGCTCACAGTGTCATAACCAGGTAGAGCCACACAGGACCAGTGTACTGTGACCGTGATGTCGTCAGGACAAGTGAAGATACGTGCTGAAGGAACAAAGCTAAATATTGTCAATAGACATTTCAGCAGAAAATTCCTGCTAAGGAGAGAGAAAGGAATTCTGAAAGGATGGTGACATGATACAAAGTGGAGTGTAGCCCAAGGGAAAATTCAACTGATTGTAAGCTGCTTAAGGTATGGCAATGTGGCACTCGACTACTTTTACTATAAATCAAATTATTTCTTTATGATGTCATTACTAAACAGTGCTTTGGATTATGCAGCAACAATTTCTTGGTTTCTGATACTGAAATGGGATTTAGATTTCATGAGCTTTTGTTTGTATGGCTTAGATCTGTACGCACAGTGCAAAATATACTACATAGGCAGACTACGGAAACCATTTTTATTTCCACATTTGTGTTTAACTGGTTTGAGTGGTACAAGCTGTGGCTAATGGCAGACTAACCTTTGCAGAAGAGATTTTCCACTTATCCTGGAAATCACCATGCAGAAAGAATTTTTAGTTCTATTTCTTCTAGCATTTCCCTTGGGCTTCTGACTCCAGTCCCAAGCAAGTATTTGAAAGGCACACTGGAGCTGCACGTTACTGTTTTGGCCACACCTCTGCCTCTTCTGTCCCTTTCACATCAAAGGCACAGGCTGCCCCTCATCTCGCTTGGCCTTGATAATCATAAAATAATGATTTGCCATGCAATCCATAGTAAAATAAGAATACAGGAATCTAAATTAGGAAAAAACACCCAACCCTGCAAAAAGTAAAAGATCAAACGAACAAGGGTACTATTTGAAATGTCTATCTCTGAGATTAATTTTTTGTAGAGTTGATGGCTTTAGTAGTAAATGCCACTTCAGCAACATAAACATTATTAATAAGCATCTCTTATTCATTGTCTACAAGTTTTTTATTCCTGAAACTCCTCTATCCTATGTAATAGATGCAGTACCTGTCAGAAAATACAGCATTTCCATTTTTTATTTTGCACAAAGAGCTGACCTGTCATTTCCTAGCTTTTCAGCGTGTGAATATAATGTTGATCTGATTGTAAACAACTTCTAACTGCAGTATCCCATCATAAACCAAATCAACCAGAACCTCCATCATGTAAAACTATTTCATGAGGAAGAGGGTTGGGCAGAAACATGACATTCACTTCTTTGGGGATTTTACTTTTGTTTGCTGAGGCTGGGAACACCAGTGTGTAATATTAGTCTCTGCATGGAATGCTGTACAGTTTTAAATCATTGTATCCATTTCCCAGCCCCTCCCCCCCCCCCCCCCCCAAAAAAAAATGAAGGGCACCCAGTCTAGATGATAGTGATAATTCCAATACAGCTCCTTCCTAGTCTGGTTTTATTTTCTTCCTCTGGTTTCCAACCCTTTGATAATGCTTTCCTTTTGAGAGGTTTTTTTCTTCCTTTAAGAAATGTTGATCTGACATTAATTTCTCCCTCAGACTGGGGAGAAACTGAACGAGACATGCTAAATTTACTATTGCTACCCCTTACAAAATGTAAAGTCAAGATAACATTTACACTGTAAAGGACACAATCAGATATTTTAGATTAAAATTTAAAAATATACTTTTCAAAATCTCCTAAAAAGGACAACCTAAAGCGAAGGGTTAATGTTTATAATGCAGCAAAGCTTTTTAATAAAAATCCATTTTTTTTTTTTTAAAATCATAACATTAAACTACTATATGAAATATTATTGTGCTATTGACACAAGTGCATTTTTGACCAAAACATTTTAGCAATAAAATCCCTACTTGAATTCAGGAGATGGATTAAAATAAAGAAGAGACTACATGTCACTTTCTTGGAACATTTGATTGATAGTACAACCCGCAGGGATATCCATGTACAAGAAGTTCAAAGGACTGGCTATAGTTCTGAACAACTCAGCCACTGAAATTAAGCCCCCTACATCTCAATTTAATATTATAAACTTGATCACATGCATAAGATTATATAAGGCTAACTCCCAAACTGTGGGAGATTATTCTTTAGAAGGAAGTAGTGTCCACGAGTTCTTTCAGTTTCATTTATTTCTCAGAGTAATTCAACTTATTTAAAGAAATGTATACAGCAAAACAAAGCACAGAAAAGTTAGTACTGCTTTGTAGAATGTACTATAATTACTCAAGAGAGTCATGGCTGGAGGAAGAAGTTATGCCAAGGAGAACATCTGCTTCTGCCCTTCAAAAAAGAAACAAAACCAACCTGTGAAATAGTTTACTTTTCAGGAGAGACTGAAGACTGATGCTAGAAAAGCAGAGAGAAGATGCCAAATAACTAACACTTGAACTCCTACAATTTTTCTTACTGCTGCTTTGTTAATACTTTTGAAAAAGTAATTAAAAAAAAAATGTAATTAACTTTTAAAAAAAATATTTTCTAAATTTCCAATCATATTTACAGATCTCTTATTGCTCTTCTAAAATTGTATGATATCTATATATACACACACATATATATGCATATTTGGAAGTGTAATACTCAAGATACAGAAGTTAATTTCAGCTCTTTGAACAGATTAGAACAATAAAAGTCACTTAATGTCTTCCTCTGTTTATAGATCTGCTTTCCTCTTTTCTGGCAGGTAGTAGGGGGTCCAAGTAAGACTGAATTGCTGTTGTACTAAGTACTGCAAAAATAGAGACCAAAATATCACTCATAGTTTAAAGAACAGATAGTAAACATTAAAAAAAGAAAAAAATATTAGAGTGTTTGCAATAGTAACAAGGGTTAAAAACCCCCTATGTTAACATGTATTATGGATTTTGGACTACTGACCTATGTCAGGCCAGAAAGCAATTCTCCAAAAATGAAAGGAAAATACAATTTTAAATCACAGAATAAAATTTCCCCTTCCACAGCTAGATCTGAACACAAAATATAACTACTAGGTGATCTGCTATACCTAGTCTTCTTAGAAAACAGTGCCAAGTACATATATTGCTAGCTCTGCTATAATATGGTCTTAGATTACCAACTAGAAAAAAACCACACAGTGGAGCTCCTCTAGCACTGCTCACGAAGCGATAGATTCCTACCCCCAAATGCAACAGAACGCTTGTTTCCTTGCAATTTAAATTTTATCCTGGTTTGGAAAGTTACCTCTAAAAAGAAAATGTGGTAATGAGTAGATAAATGACATTTCATATATGTAAATTCCAATCTGACAAGTTTTTAAGAGAAACAGGTTGCAAGAAGAAATAACCCTTTAGTGGTATTAAAAATAATATAATACATTTGCTGTATAACACAAACTAGGAATTAAAAGAACTCAAGTCCTTTTAAACATTTATGCTAAATACCTTGTCTTCTGGAACAGGTTCTTTGAACACCCAGTTCCCATCTCATACCTGGGGGTCAACATGGCACAGCTGCTATCTATGTAATCTCACATCCTCTATTCATATTTGTTGAAAAATTTTCTCATTGACCTGCATCCTGGTTTTCCTCAACTCCTTCTCCAGTTTGCCAAGAGCATTTGTTGCCCTTCCAATATTGGTTTGATCTGTGAAAGTAATAATACTACTTTGTATTCCATTACTGAATTATGGAAATATTTATCAGAGGACCCAGGCAGAACTTGGTGCAAAGCCACTCGCTACAGCCTTCCAGTTTCGGAGGCATTAATAACCTTTCCCAGTACAGTCTTTTCAACAATTTATACACTGTATGCCCTGTAGCAAGTTATTTTAAGTCACACAGCTTTAACTTCATAGGATATTCTCACAGGTGTCACCAAAAGACTTACTGAAGCCAAGACACGCCTCCAGTGCATGGCTATAAAGCCAGAAAAAGCAATTAGCTTAAGTTAATGCTTCTGACAAATTCTTGCTGGCCCTTGCTTATTCGCTTGTTTTCTTTTAGGTGAGTTAAAACTCCTGTAAGGATTACTTCTTGCTTTTCTTCAGAAACTGAACTCATTAGCCAGATACTGTTAAATTAAGCAGACATGCTCCCTCCACCAATTAGAAATAAAAAAAATCCCACATCATCATCCATCCAGCAGCCTCTATAGATAAATTAGCATCTACCTGTAATGGTATTTATTTACCAGGACAAAAGGACAAATTTAGTATTAATGCATTTTGTCCTATTCAATCTTTAATACCCACTCTTTCAATTTATTCTCAGCTTTCTATCTGATTCTGAAGCCAAATTTTTTTTTGTCTTCACTTTAAAAATTTGATTTTTTTTCCTTTTGGCAGCCATAACTTTTTCCCTTAGTCCCTCTCCTCTTATGAGTACAGCACTTAAAGAAAATACTAAGCATTTCCTAAAATACTGTTACTAGCTGCATCTAACTAGGCCTGATCTTATTGCTGATATTTCCACTGTTGCATGCACCTTTCTTGAGATTCAGATCATGAACGAGTTCCTTATTAAGATAGTTGCTATTACAACTCCTATTTTCTTCCATTTGAATAGACACAATTCTTTCAACAAGCTGCAAAGTCTAAATACCTTTCTGCCTTTGATGTTTCCCATCCCTACACTTAATAACACTGGCGCTTCTAGACAAGTCTTTTCCTTGTCTTCATTCTGCTGCTTCCGTCCCTTCCTAGAAGTTTATTTTTTTAATTTCATACCCAGCTACCTCCCATAACACATGCAAATTTCAGGTTCTTTTTAAACTTCCATAATTTGCATAAACTAATTAAGTTTTCTCCAAACCAGAATATAACATTTTATTATGAAATAGAGTTTACTTTATTAAAGTGCATTTTTATGTGACCTTAGATACTTTAAGGGTGGGATGATCATTAATCTCACATTCATACCCTGAAGTAGACATTTTGAAGCAAGTGTACCTCTCTGTTCCTAAAGAGCAGATTTCTTATGCAGAAGAGTTACCTTCAGTAAAGAAGGCCTGAGATAATCACAGTCAGAAAATTGGCGTGACTAGTGATTGCAACAAAAAACTAACCAGAGGGTGTCTAACAACTATACATGCAGTAAAATAACCAAAGAAATAAAAATAAATATATATATATAAATACATACTCAAAGGAAGGGTATTTATGAAGACATAGTTCTGTATGTACTACTGAAGTATACTTGTGGATGCTTACAAGAATACAATATTTCATAAATAGAGCTAGGAGAATAGTTAGGAAGGCCAAGGTCTCACTTGGACTAATAAAACCGGGGCCCATCCTTTGTAAAAGGAGAAACAGCAACAGGAAGGAAAAAAAAAAAAAAAAAAAAAAAAGAAAAAAAAAAATCAACATGCAAGATTTTGCACAAGAAATTCTATGCAGATAAAGTTAGAAACCTGTTAGGTAAACATTGCATAGATCACTAAAAGGTAGGGAAAAAGTGGGTTTAGTGGATAACATGTAATTTAAAAGCACTAATGAACAAAATGCTGAAAAAATGTGTTCATGTTAAGGAGCTCAGAAATCTATTACAATATAACTTTGTAATAAATTTCATAAATTCATGAAATATAAAAAAACCTATACAAAAAGTTTTGGCTAAACAAAAGGACATTAATATCAGAATAAGCAGATTTTCCATTAAAATTATACACACATATTTCAGCAAGAATGATTTTTTTTCTTCTACGAAAGGATTCACTTGTTAGAAGCTGAGCACGGTGTGGTGGCCTATTTGGCTTTTAACCTGAAGGTCAAACATTTATTTGTTCAAGTGAAGGATCTTTAAAAATACTGAGAAAGTTTCACAGAGTAAAGTAAATGATTAAAAAAATAAGTGAAGTCAACCAATTGAGCATAAAAATATACATATAAAGTGTCTTGGTTTTTAGACAGTATACAATAATCTCTTATAACTCTACAGAGAAGATTAATCTTCTTCAGAAGTACTTACAACATGTGGAAGAACAATATACATATGGTTCCCAAGGTGAAATAGGACTATAGGATCCATGAACCAGTGGTCAACATATAAAGTCTTATCATAGAAATATTGTAAACATTTTTCTTAATTGGGATCTTAATCATCTTTGGTATAACAGACTCCTAGAGAATCTCTGATGACACATTTTATATCAAATTTAAATAAGAGGGAAAAGAAATTGTTTAAACATTTTGTATTTAAAGTATGCATCACTTAAAAATGTTGTATACATATATGTTCACAGTTTGGAATGGATCTTTTCTCTTAATAAAATGCTCCTGGCCTATAAATATAAAATCTTAATTGTTCTGGCCAAAGATCCACTTCTGGAAGGGGTCTGATGGATTACAGGATGCCAAACTTGGATGCTCTCCATTTCCTGTAAGGCACATATGTAGTGCTGCATTGTACAGAGTTTGATCCTAAAGTGAGTAAAAAAGGAGGAAAAAAAAAATAAAGTGAACAAACAATGAGTATGTAATTTCCCCCCACTCTTCATTTTTTCCCAAGTTCATTGTTGTTAAAGAATAAGGCCATACAGGTAGCGCAGAGCGGGACTAGCAAGTAAATAATAGTATGCCAGTGCCAAATTTTTCTGTTAGGAAAAATTTTTAAAGTATTTTAAAAGATACAGAACATTTGGATTGACTTCCAGGTGGATGCCCAGACACACACACTAAAGGATATCAACTAGGTTTGTAAGTGACATATCTACTTCACATTTAAAAGAGTGAAATCATCAAGTTTTGATCTGGTAACCAAAAAGCTGAAGTTCTCTATATTTTCCTCAGAAATAAACTTGCTCCTTTTTGGCTGCCAAGTTTTGTTTCATTGGAGTTTTCTATTCTATTAGAAATCAAAAATTAAACTCATATAAAAGATCACTGATAAAATTGCCTGTTCACTGTCCAGTCTAAATACCTTTTGATGCAGCCATTGCTCTTCTCCAACAGCAAAGGTTTTCTGGCCTTTGTAGTTACATTCGCGAAGCTGCACAGGTCCTTTAGAAGCATGCAGACAAAGCTCCTTCTGAATGTTATGTCGAATTTCATGATGTGCAGAATATTCAAAGTACTATTTAAATAATTTTTTAAAAATTTCAGTAAATAAACACAAACAAGAGCATTAAACTAAATTAATCCTTTCCAATTCCAATACATAAATAGATTTCCTTCATTATTCAACAATCTGAGACTACACAATCATTTCTCTGATTTTTAGCATACATGCTTTGAAAGTGTTTACAAATTAAAAGCATTTTTTAATACTAATGCAACAGAATATATTTGGTAGTATTCAAATGTATAAATTACAAATGACACTCGGTACATATGCATTATGATGCAAGATCTTCTCAGTTACTCCCCAGGAATCATAATTCAAGAAGACAAACAGAAAATTGGAGATAGTTGCATGGATAACTTAAATTTCAGTATGTCTTAACTTTAAAAATCTTTATTCAGTTTTTGTTGCTGGATTTTTTTTTTCCTTAGAGCAACCAAAAAAAAAAATTGTCACATGGAACAACAGTGATTACTGTATCAACTTTTGCTGCTTTAACTAAACTATAAATGCTAACAAAAGGATGCTGTTATGTTCTCTTGTGAGCTAGTGATTAGAAAAGTAATATAAGAATGTATCTTGTGAGTGAATTTTACCATTATTTCCTGACATCAGAGTACTCTTAAGGGTCAGGAATTCTAGGCTATAATTTCAGTCTCAACAAGGATTTAATTCTAACAGTTACAGACACAGCTGCCCTTTTTTTACCTCTAGTCCTACCCTACCATCCTGGTTTCTTCCTTTTCTCCCTCATTAAACAACAGAGTTCCTATCATTACCTCCCACTACCACTGTTTTTTGGCTCCGTATGTCAGCCTTTTTCACCACATCTTTCCTTTGACTATTGAGACCAGGCTCAGTTAGCTCCCTGTGGCTTTCAACTATCTGTCCAAATGGTCAGCTTCCACCTCCTCACTGCCTTGGCATCAATGGGAGCAGCACTGAGAAACAAACAGGCATTTCGTTCTTAAATATCTGTATCCAATGTTACTCCCTGAAACAAGTATTGATAGGACTGACCTGCTTAGTCACTTAGCTCTCAGACATAATAATTTACTCTAAATCTGTTAATCTGTCTTAATCTGTTCTGATTTATCTTTTGAACTCCCAAACCCTTCAAACCCTGACAATACAACTTGAAAGCTAGGTTTAAAACTTCATTACTTTTGGATATTGAGATGGACAAGTTCCCAGCCCCAGAATATTCTAAAAAGGAGGATCAACAGATATACAACTCTGAAAACTAGGTTCTCTTTTCCACTGCTTTCTCCCATCTCAAATATATGGACAGAGATGACAGGTAGCATGGAAAATTTCAGCCTACACTGATAGAGAACGTAAAACAACTGGAAATAGAATATTGTAATGAGAAGGGTTAAGTAAGCAAATATGTACATCTCTTAACCAGTAAAACTTGTATTAAAATTCTCTGAAGGTTGGCATTTAAAGGGATTCAGACTGTTATTTTATAGCAGGAGGAAAAACAAAACATGCAACACCTGAAAGCACAGAGTTTTAGTGTGATCCAAGATAACTTAGAGATGCCAATAGAAGCATACAGCAGATCTCTTAATACCTCTTGGTACAGTGCTCCTGCATTAGTGACTGTGACAATGTGAAAAGGCTAATATAATATTAATCCACAACAGAATAAAAAAAAAGGTCAGTACTGTAAGAAGCTAAAATAGCAACGGAGTTAATAATCTAGAGAGTATTTAATCTTCTACAAAAATTGATTAGGAAAGCATCAATTAACTAGGATCATGTGTCTGAGTTTTCACAGTGCCATCAATGGATGGCTTTTAAGATTGAAGATTTTATTTTCAAAAATAAAAATTACAACTATATTCTAACAAAAACTTTTGCTGACCTTTAGTTATTAAGGATCTACAGTTAATAAATTTTATTTACCAAATAACTCTTTAAGGCAGCAGAGAAGCGTTCATTTCTGGCCAGGGAAGAAGATGTTACTTTTATTTGTATTACAGTAGTTCCTGAAGGATTCAGCATCTGACATCTATTGCAAGTCATACTATAGAAGAAACAGAGCACCATTGCTGCCTCCAAGAGCCATGCATCAAAGACAGCTCTTAGACAAATTCAATCATATTATTCACTTGCATTAGCCAGTACAGGACAGACCACTTTGACCTCACACTATGAGGCTGCAAGCATGATAGGGAAGGTGGCTCAGGCCTGGCCACTCGGTCTCCCGTTGGCCGGATTCCCACCAACATCTTCCTTGACAGTGCAAGTCCTGGTGGCAGAGAAAGAAGCAATAGGAGGAAGCATAAGGAAAGGAAGAATTAAGATGACAAACATTTACAAGAAAGTAGGAAGGGTAGGACAAAAAGGTTTTGCACAGAGAGGAGAGATCAAGTGAAGCAGTGAAATTGTGTTAAAAAAATCGGAATCTGTATGCTGAACATAAAATGTCAAAAGCGGGACACAACATGAAGAGCAGTATGAAATTTTCCTTGAACAATATATATAGGAATTAACTCTCAAAAAAAAAAAAAAAAAGAGAGAGAGAAATTGCATATTAAAACCTAGTTCATTTCTCTAAAATAAATGAAAAGCTTTAATATGGTAAAATTCATAATATGGAAAAGCTTTAATATGGTAAAGATCATAAAAAATCATAAAAATCAGGTATCAAATATTTTACCTGATTTCCTCCAAGTCCATGACAAGAATACATAATCAATGGTTTTCCACCATGGTTATTTTCACCAACATCCAGACACATGCGTTTACCAATATTTTTTAACTAAAGAAAGGGTGTTATCAGAAAAAAAAAAAAAAAAAGAAGCTCAGTGGGTTAGGCAAAAAAATTAACTGTCTCATTCATATAGAAAACTAACATTGGGCTTACAACAATTACAGCTTTTAGTTAATTTTTACTTTCTGCTATGGTCAAATTTAAAAATCTAGTGTCTCACTTCATCTTTTCTAACCAAAAGCCTGTTAACTACATTATGGTTGTCAGCAGCCACACAGTGTGAATTATTAGGCCACTGATGTACAAGGTTACTGTTACTCAAATTACAATTTGAACAGACACACGTAAGAAATTCAAAATTGGAGGAAGGGAAAGTTTTATTTGTTAATACGTGCTAAACATTCACATTCATCCACACTAAGATTTATTAGTTGTTTAATATTTTTTTTTGTTTTAGCAATGCAATGTCTAAGGAGTTATTTGGCAGACGAAATGCAATGGTCTTAAAAAAACCATTTGTATAACTATAAAAACACATTTGCCTCATCATAAACATAATTCTAAGAAGCAAACAGCTCTCCAGTTTTCCTTATTAACACGAGCTAAAAATTCTCTTTTTACTACATAAAGCTATATTTACTTTGATAATTCAGAAAACCTCTCACCACTGGCTTAGTACTTCTATGTTATTTAATTGTTAGTGATAGGAAGAATGTTGCTTCTCTTAACAGGTTGTAAAATCCTGTTAAGGAAGGCTACTGTTAGTTAATTATTAAGAAGCTTTGCTTAAATTTCATATCACCAATGACAAAATTACAGAATATTCAAATAGCAAGGTATGTAGAAGAGATTCTTTGTCCAGACTAGTGACAGAAAACCCTAGAACAGTTAATGATAGCTAAAATGTAAATACTATGGCTAAGGTAGCACAAAAGGTTAGCAAACTTCCTGGCTTGTGAAAGACTATTGGAAATAATTAAAATTAAACTTACATATCCAGAAAACAAAGGATTCAGGTCTGGCACATATGCTTCTGGATAAACATTACTGAGATACCAGGTAAAATTTTTACACTGCAGACGTTGCCTTAATTCAAGCCTTTTTGAGATGTCTCCAAATGATTTCTGTTAGAAAAAGGAATGTAAGAAAGGATGGAAGGGAAATATACTAATGTTACTAATATCAATTTTGTACATATAAATATATTCTGTATTATAGCATTAAACATGTTTGAAGCTTCAGGGGTGGGGCGTTTTTTGTTTGGTTGGTTGTTTTTTTTTAATACTGTACTAGTACAGTATCTGCTCTTTTTGTTTTTCAGTGTCATAACACCACTGACATCCTGCCTGCAGCATTTCAAAGCACATGCAAGAAAAACACATTGCAACATGGAAACAATAGAAGTATCCTTAGTCCCAAGAGTTCTAACACAGTGCCATGAAGCAGGAAAGTACAATCAAGACCATACTGATGGCAGCTATAAAGCTAACTGATCTCACGAAAAAGAGTGAGCTGAAATAATGACTTGAATTAATTAAATAATTAGCATAATAGTCAGTATAATACAGATTCTTCCAGACAAAATTCAGTTGTCTAGCTGTTAAATATGCTTAGGAAATCTACTGCTACTAGTGATATAATAGTCACAAAAATTTATCATACGAAGGCAGAAAGAATAGCTTCTTGAAGAAAACTCTAGATTCCAGCTGGTGAAAGACCAAAGTTCCAGAAAACTTACAAAAATAAATAAACCAACCCCCAGCCCACCTGAATTTAACTTAAGTTTTAAGCAGATAGAGAGAGGATGGGTATGTATCATAGAATAATCTTTATTCTGCAGCTAAAGAACAACAAAAACTGTTTTAAAAGTAAAAATACTAAGCAAATCGAGACTAATGACATGTTACGCTTCTCACTCCAAAAAATAGGTTAGTTTTCATTTGCTATGGTCAGTAACTTTTCTCATGTTCTTCTGGTAGTTGCAGTAGCCACTCAATCCAAACAACTCAAGATTTTAGAGAATATATGAAAAAACCCACCATTCAAAGAAACCCACCAAACAAAACAATACTATCACCAAACACTTAAGGTTTTTCTTGTGTGTTGGGGCTACAGCATTAACAAAACTTAATTCTGTCTTCATTAAAATATATAGAATCCTTACATACTTTGTCAATAAATAACTTTTGCTCACCAAAACTTTCAACGCAGCAAGTGTGATTTCTAATACCACCACCACCACCTACTTGTTTCACAATTTTTGCTGCCTCTGTGTTTCTTCGGTAAAATATTTCTTTATATTCATCCATCCACACTTCTGCAAGGCGGACTTGATTACGTGTGATCACTTGAGTACCTTTTGGGAAAGTATGGGGACTCTTGCTGCGAAAGACATGGCCAACAACAGAGCAAGGCATGATCTCCAACTGTCCACCACATTGCCATACCTAATAATAACATTTTTTTGTGTAAGTGCGCTGCAATTAGAATTAAGGAGGTGGAAAAAAAATCAGCAAAGTTATTGTTCACCAGAAAAAAAAAAAAAAAACAAAAAAACAAAAAAACCAACCACTAGCAATAGTGCATATATCAGACATACCATAAGTGAATTTCCTAATCAAGTAAACCCTGGAAATGTACGTTTCAGCTATCAATCCTAAATACATTAACATCAATCAATCAATTGATCAGTTCAGTGAGCGTGTTTGTATTTTATTTCATTGGTCATTAATAAATCATGTTCTATGTCCTAGTTGGCTGATTCAGCAGAGAAGTCAAGATCTAATATTAATTTGTCCTCAAAAATTCTGTACACTGTCAGTATGGGTACCACTGCTAATTAAATAGCTAAACTTACTCTGAAAGACATTTCTATATTTTCACCTCCCCATATTTCCATTTCTTCATCATAGCCTCCAATGTGTTCGAAGTAGTCTTTTGATATTGAAAAGAGACCTCCAGCAAAAGTGGGTGTTCTGCAAAAGGAAAACTTTGAGTAAGACAGCATTCAAATAGTAAAGTAGTTTTGTTTTTTGTTTTTTTTTTTTTTAAATATAGATGTATATGATGGTATAACAGATCTAGAAAATTTCTGTGCATCTGTCAGTATTTCACTACATTGCTATATTTTCCTGGCATAGATAATACTTCAAGAAATTAAATCTGCCCACACCGAGTCTCATTTGACAGTTTTATTGTCATTTATTAACAGCCTGTTCAGACTAATGACTGCTGGTATAAAAGACAACATCAGGAAAACTAACATATTTTCCCTGTATGGAGGATATCAGGCGAATTCATTCCTCCTCCAGACCAGTAATCTGTCTGTGGCCAAAGCACATACAATTATCATCAAATGCACCACTGCAACAGTCTAGTATTTTGGTGCTCTTAAACTTTGTTGTCATCCTTTCAAGGACAATGAATGAGGAGCAAAAATCTGTGGTACTATCTGTGAAAAGAACTGTTTATAATCCTCCTCTCCCCTCTTCCTTCTGACAAAAGAAAAACATGTATAGAAATTGCTTATTACATTCCAAGTATGTAGAAAAATGGTAATGCAGAGCAATTACTCTCTGAAGGAGTCTGTATTTTTATGAAAGCTTCAAAATTTACAATGTGTTTTTTAGAGAAAGTATTACAAAAACCATCTAAGATGCTAAGACTTCTGATCATATCCACCTGAAAAACTAGTTCATTTTCAAACTGCTATTCATAGCAAAATATGAAAACCTGAAGGATTCAAAATATTCAACTTGGTTTACCTAATTGGATAGGTTTCATCTTTTCTTCTTTTATTTTCATGTTTAGGAAGAGACTCCCATCCAAATGACAAACTCCAATCAAAATTTCCTCTGTTGTGGCTATGCCCATAAGGAGATGGTTTACTGAATTCAAAAGTATTGAGATCTATAGAAGCAATATCAGGGCTTACAACAGCAACACGGTTCTCAGCTATTCTTGCCAATAATGGCTCTAACCAGCCATAAAAGCATTCACCTGTGGAGAAAGTGGAAATAAGCACTGAATTTTTGCTTGTCTGCAAAATAGTACACAGTGGATATTTTAGCATGCCCACAGCAAGCCAATATGCACGGCTTTTAAATAGCATTTATAATTATACTTTCAATAACAGAAATAGAAAACACGATGCACTGCTAATGCTCATAATTAATAAAAAAATCCACAATATTAAATCAAAGACAACAGTGTTCTAAACAGACCTGGCAGAGTTACAGGTTACACTTACAGTGAGCATCCAGAAAGGTCAGGGTCTCTCCTGTTGCTACTGAAGCTCCCAGCAACCGTGCAGTTATTAGACCTTTTCTTTCCTTTTGACGGACTACTTTAACTATTTGAAATTGTTTCACATATTCATCTAGTTTATCATGCAAGTATTCTAGAAAAAGAAATCAGTTTCAGGATATTCAATGTATATACATGCCACTGCCTAAAATTTTACATTATTAAACTAACAGGATAAACAATTTACACTAATCCCAGGGATGACCTCAACACCAAAGCAGTAAACAATTCCTGATTGTTGAACGTTATTTTTAGGTGCTGAGTTTTGTTGGGTGTGGGGGTGTAGGAAGAGGCAACTGGCAGAGAACAGAAGATGAAACACTAAAAATATTCTAAAATAGAAAGGACATGTACCAGTACATCTCTTCTGCAGTATTAACAGTTTGAACACCAATTCAAAATCCATTTTCAGAGCAAATGGGTCATGTACCTATTTACTCATGTTATCTACAGAACATGCAAACTTTTTCCTCACTGATGTCACATTTTACACATAATTTTCAAAGGCTACAATATTTACAACAGCAACAGAATCTATACAAAAAACTCTTTAAATGTGCAAAATTTGAGCAACGACCCCACAGCTCTCATTAAACATCCCACATCATCTTTCTTCCTCTGCCCAATCTTAGTATTAAACTGTACTACTGAACATACTTCACATCCAAGTGTGGCAGTATATTAAATACAGACTTGCAAAAAGTGTAAATACATTAACTCAATCATGTATGTATAGAAGTGTTCATCTAAAGTTAAGCATGTAAAGTTTTTTGAACTTATCTTTATGACCACACTCAGTATACACGCAATTATTTTTGGCAGTCAGCTCGAGTATTGAAGGTTATTATTCCATTAAATAATTTTACTTTATAGGAGTTACATTTCCCTTCATATTAATGACATGAATTTGCATAAAGACAATCACTATGATAAAATGCAAATTGCTACAAGCATTGGTTGATCTATCCTTGGATACTTTATTCTATAAATTGTAATTGGTTTGAAGCACAAATTACAGAACTACTTTTCAGGCAACCAGGTATACAGTTTAAGCAGCACTAGAATGGGAATAGTCAGAAATGGGATTTAAAAAAAATTTAAAAGACAAGAATTTCATATTTGACTACATTGTGAAAAAAAAAAAAAAAAGGTGGGGGAGAACTATTTTATATTTTATAGAAAAAGAAAGGAACAAATCCACTTAGAATACCACTATACATGTTAATGGTGGTAAAGAGATACCCTCTTTTAACCAATTTATCTGCAATCCTAGCATGTCTTAAAAAAAAAAAAAAAAAAAAATCAAGAGAAAATAGGAAGTCTTCTTACCATCTACACTGGCATCATCCACCAGAATAATCTCCTTTAGCAGTATAGCAGGAGATGTATACATCACGCTGTGAACAGTTCTGAGCAGAGTGGACCACGCTTCGTTATGAAAAACTATTATAATACTTGTGGTTGGCAATGGCGGGCAACGCTTAAACTTTTGTTCAATACATCTACAGATTAGAAAGTGTCAAATGTTACAAAATGGACAAAAAGGTTTGACTCAAACTATCAAAATAAACCCTTCTCTTTCTAGCACAAAGCTTTGTAAGTATGGAGATCAAACATTTCAGATTCTACACTTTCTATCCTAGTTTTAAAACACAAAGACAGGTGCTCCAACTGGAGAAACTGTACAAAATATTGTCTAAAAATATGATGAATAAGAATTCCACTTGACCAACTGACTCTGTTCTGCTTCTGTCTCACAAACATTTGAATATGTCTCACATAGCAGTCAGGTCTTCTACACAAAAGAAAATATGCTCTTCTACTGAGAGCAGCAGATACTGAGCTGTAAAATCAGAGTTTAAAACACCATTACTGTTGAAACCCCAAAATACAAAAAACAATATTTATTAGAAGAATGTGGAGTTTCTAATTAAAAAATAGAACAGATCTAATTCAGAACTTCAATATTTTGTAGAAATACCATATAATCCTTAGGGCAGCATATCCCCATCCAGGGAAACAATTTTAAACCCACAGTTTTTCAAGATTGATGTATTCTAAACAAAACTTTAAATCCAATTGCAAATCAAGATGACAACACTTCTATATTCATAAGATGCACACTTACTGTTTATTACCTGTCAGGTTTAGAGACTGGAAGACTCCCTAAGGTAATTATCACAGCCATTGCCTCACAAATATAGAAGTGAAAACTCACCAGTTATGCTTTAGCAAAGGTTATTGTGAGCTGCACCATGTGTAACATGATATTCATACTACTGGCAGCAGCTCAGTAAGATTAGTCACTTCTGACACAGATAGCTGAGAACATATAATCTGACAGTGACAGACTGCTCATAACCAAAATCCACTCCACCCAAGCCCTACAGTCTTCATTAATAAAATTTTTCAATACTACAAGATTGAGGAGATATTCCATTGCCTTGTTCAACAGTTTACAATCCCTAATGTATTTAAATTATGCTGGTGGGTTTATTAACACTGAATACTAAATAAATAAATAAAATACATACATAAATAAATAAATAAATAAGTGGGGAGACAGAGCAGGAACTGGTATTTGAACTGAGAAAGTTTAAACCACATTTTTAGTTTTCTTCTAAGTAAAACTTGGCAGGCTTCCAGAAAGTCACTCAGAAATTGTAGCTTAAAGGCAAAAGCAGAAAACCTTATTTAAATATGGTTACTTTGAATTCAAAAACATGAAAGAAGTGAGCCTTTCTAAACATTCTTGGCTTTGGCACTGTGGATCATTATGTACAGCCAATCATTATGTATAGCTAGGAGACTTTCCTAAACTATCACCTAATGCTGAACCCAAGTCACTTTGCAGTCTGCATTTCTGACAAGTTTTTCAACTATGAGGACATACAGATTTCAACATACTCAGGAGGTCGAGTGTCTGGTCCAAGATCTCGGTGTAAAGAAATCCTGTCACTTGCAAATGCATTAAAACAGTGTTTTTCTTCTCCGTGCTGTTTTTCTTTCTGTTCTTCTGAATTTAAGTTAATGGTTTTAAATGCTTTACCAGAAGCTCCAGGAGCATTAGGATCTTGAAGGGGTCGATCTAGAAAGGGTTTTAATTCCACTGCAGTATAGTGTCCTGGCAAACAGTGTCTCTCTTCAGGAATCCTAGTTTGCCTAACAGGTGCTTTTATCTGCATTTTTGGTTTTGCACCTTTGATATTGTTCATAGCATTTAACACAAGACCTAATACGTGACTTTTCTTTCCAACAACTGGCTCAATCCCTGCTTCATGTTTAAAATCTTGAACACCCACTTCTCTTTGTAATAAAAATAAAAATACCAGAAACACAAGCACAATAATGCTGAACTTCCAAAGTTTCCAGTGAAAAAACAGTTTCTTGAATAGCTTAGGTGTTTTTTTCAAAGCCATTCTAGTTTTAAGAAAATTATCACGACAAAAGTTTTTATGAATATTGTTCTTCAAATAGGTCTCAGCATTTCTTGAAATTACAGCACCTGTAAAATAAAACAAAAAGTATTTATTTAGACATCTAGTATATTCAACAATATAAAACCACAAAAAATTATTGGGCAGGAATTAATTCACATCTCCCAACTGTCAAACGTTATGTGTCCATCACTTAAATATACCTCAAATCTCTCTATATATATATGCTGCCCCAAATGTACTTTCCCTGTTTTGTTTTGTTGGTTGGTTGGGGTTTGTTTTTTTTTTTTTTTTAAACACACTTCAAACAGAAGAACTGGAAAGCAGGCATGCTACTAAGAATAAAACACTATTTCTACACAATGCCACTATTTCACATAAATTTTCTTGTAACTCTTGAAAATTAAGCTGTTTAAAAATGCGAGGAAAGTGTTGTTTTAGGACTTCCAGAAGCAGGGAATTTTAGTTCAATGATGGGATAGAAGGAAAACAGAAAGAATCAAATAACATATGTTTAAGTTGCACATAGGAAAGATCCACTTAAGAAGTGAATTATAAAGACAGGATGGACTTCTCAATCAATTTATTCTAAAAATTTTGAAATTCTCAATATTAAAAAAGAGAAATCCATTTTGAGATCTGACTTAAGTAATCAGACTTCGAGTGGGAAATGTTTAGATTCATTTAGTTTTCACAGAATCACAGAATGGTTTGGGTTGGAAGGGACCTTAAAGATCATCCAGTTCCAACCCCCCACCACGGGCAGGGACCCCTTCCACCAGACCAGGCTGCTCAAAGCCCCGTCCAACCTGGCCTTGAGCCCTTCCAGGGAGGGGGCAGCCACAGCTGCTCTGAGCAACCTGTGCCAGGGCCTCACCACCCTCACAGTAGAGTTTCTTCCTTATATCTCATCTAAATCTGCCCTCTTTCAGTTTAAAACCATTACCCCTCATCCTATCACTACACTCCCTGACAGAGTCCCTCCCCCCCTTTCAGCACTGGAAGGCCACTATAAGATCTCCCTGCAGCCTTCCCTCCTCCAGGTGAATAACCCCAGCTCTCTCAGCCTGTTCTCACAAGGGACATGCTCCAGCACCCTGATCATCTTAATGACGCGCTCAAGCAGGTCTGTGTCCTTCTGATGTTGGAGGCCCCAGAGCTGGACACAGCGCTGCAGGTGGGGTCTCATGAGAGCAGAGTAGAGGGGGAGAGTCCCCTCTCTCGACCTGCTGGTCACACTTCTCTTGTTGTAGCCCAGGACACAGTTGGCTTTCCGGGCTGCGAGTGCACATTGCTGGCTCACAGTTTTGCATCCACTATTACCCCCAAGTCCTTCTCCCCAGGGCTGCTCTCAATCCACTCAGTGCCCAGCCTGTAGTTGTGCATGGGATTGCTTCAACCTACGTACGAGACCTTGCCCTCGGCCTTGTTAAACTTGTTTGCACAAGTTCTCAAGCCTGTCCAGGTCCCTCTGGATGGCATCCCTTCCCTCCAGCGTGTTGGCTGCACCACACAGCCTGGTGTGGTCAGTGACCTTGTTGAGGGTGCGTTTGATCCCACTGTCCATGTCACCAACAAAGATGTTGAACAGCACTGGCCCCACACCGACCCCTGAGGAACGCCACTTGTCACCCCCCTCCGCTTGGATATTGAGCCGTTGACCACAACACTTTATCTAGTACACATGTTCAATGCAGATTTAATACAAGTAATTTGGAGTAGGTTAATTTAGCCTGAGGATCAAGTAATCATTCTGTGTATTGTTTCATTCACTCGTACTGCATTTTCTGGCATGTGCTACTGCAACTCATCAAGAGAACATGTCAAAGAAGTCTCCTCTTTCAAGAACTCTGCCACTGTTTTTTTTTTTTTTTTTTTTTTTTTCACAGAGAAGCAATTATTCAGCAGCTTTCAAAGATGGGGAACTATGAAAAACATTTGAGGATTACCAGAATCCAAGTGATTTGAATTAAATTCTCTCTTCAAAATTGGCAGTTTACAAAAAGTGGAAAACAGCAACCAGTCTGAATTTAAAGCACAGTTTTATTTTTGTGTAAGTCACATGTATGTGAACTGAGAAAAGAAATAAGCAGCATCTAGAGAAAAGCCACAGTTAATTCCTACTTGTCAACTACTGACCACAGAACTGCAAAAAAGTTATTTTCTATTTCATCCTTTGAAATACAAATAGATTCTGCATTTCCTAATTGGAATAACATATATGCAGGACAAGATATAACTTGTAGAAAACAGAAAAAACCCCTCACCTGGCTTCCTTTAAAAATTTTCAGGATATGTTAAGCATCCAGACTTGTTCACATTATAGTTTATTTCAAAGGTTATGTCACCTTTTTAAATAAACCCATACATTCAAACTACAGTGCTTTTACCATAGAACTACTGTTATAACAGTACAGAGAGGAAGCTAATTACAGCATTGCCATATAGATACTAAAATGTACCAAAAATGTGCTTCACAAAGCTCAAAACATTTCCAAGAAAACCCATTAAAAAAAAATTAAAAAAACAAACCAAACCAAAACAAAACAGAAAAAACAAGCCAAACACCAGTCCACTTCCATTTCACACATGATTTTCCCATTTTTCTTTAGTGCTGAAAAATTTATACAATATCAATACCTATACACTGCAAGACTAAGAATAAAAACTTCCTTTCCTGGCGAAAGGATTGCAACCAACGTACCTAACTGCCAGATAAAAATATGCCTTGTTTTCCTCACAGTGTCTGGTGGGCTGATCTTGGCTGGCTGCCAGACACCCACCCAGCCACTCACTCTCACTCCCCCTCCTGAACATGACAGCAGGGAGAAAATAACAAGGAACAGCACACAAGTAGAGATAAGGACAGTGTGATCACTTACCAATTACTGTCATGGGGGATAACAAACTTGAGGATGATAAACTTAATTTATTGCAAATTAAAAATAGAATAGGATAGTGAGAAACAAAAACAAAACTAAAACCACCTCCCCAGTCTCAACTTCACTCCTTCATTCCCCACTCTTCTATCTCCTTTCTCCCAAGTGGTGTAGAGGGGATGGAGAATGAGGGTTGTGGTCAGCTCATAACACTTCATCTCTACCACTCCTTCTGCTTCACACTTTCCCCTTGCTCCAACATGGGTCTTCTCTGTGGGTACAGTACTTCAGCAAAAACTGCTCCAGCATGGGTCATCCATGGGTCACAGTTCCTGCCAAGATCTTGCTCGTGCATGGGCTCCAGCTTCCTTCAGGGCAGACTCACCTACTCCAGAATGGGGTCCTGCACAGGCTGCAGTGTGGTCGTCCATAGCCTGTGGAGAAATACCTTCTTCACTGTATTCTTCTCCATGGGATGCAGTGGGACAACCTGCTTCATCAGTCTTCTCTGCGGGCTGCAGGGGAATCTCTGCTCCAGCCCCTGGAACACCTCCTCCCCTCCTTCTTCACTGACCTGGATATCTGTGGGGTTGTTTCTCTCACATTTTTCTCACTCCTCTCTTTCACAGCTGCTTTTTTTTTTTTTTTTTTTTTAAACAAAAAAAAAAAAAACAAACAAACAAAAAAAAAAAAACAACAAACAAACAAAAAAAAACCACAACTTTTTTGAACAGCTTATCACAGACGCACTAACTGCTACAGTGGGTGGCTCAGCTTTGTCCAGCAGTGGGTATGTTTTAGAGCTGGCTGGACCTGCTGTGTCCAGCACATGGGCAGCCCCTGGTCTCTTCTCAGAGGCCACCCAACCTTGCCAGGTAAATGCAATACACAATATAAAACACCAAGCACATGTACAGATCATCTCCCAGCAAGACTGTAACTTGTAAAACTACCATTGCTAAATCTGCAAGGGCACAGCCTGAGCCTACAGCTTCTGCAACCTGTTAACCAGGAATGTTTATATAACACCATAAAAAAGAAAATCACATTACTGTTTCTCAGTGCACCACGCACAAGCACTTATTATATTAATAAACCTTAAAGCTTAGGACTCAATAAGCAATATAAATATCTCTTCCTCAAATAGAAAAAAGAAAATATGATTTTTTTAATCTCTGAAGTACTTCATACGTAAGAGAGTTCTGGCAACTTCTTTATCTCTCAAGCCGTCAGCAGGCACAGTCCATCAAGCAAACACACCGGTTGGATGCGTGGTGTGCTTCCAAACATTGTTGCCCACAAATTTCTTTTGTATCACTAAACATGTAACAATGTTCCCCAACTTCCTCCAAGCCTCTTCCTCTAAGTAAAGAGCCTTAAATTTGCCCAGGACGAGAGAATGGTTAAGCCTTAAAGAGCATGATGACATAAGATACGTCAAGAGAAGAAACATTAAAGTTAATTCTATATAACAACATTGATTGTTTTATACTGAAATTATACTTAAATTTGAGAACTTAATCAGTATTTGAGTTAAATATTTATGACTGTCTCTTTTTGTTTTAGCAAACTGGCATAAGGCTACTCAAAGAGTAAAAAAATTACATACTATGCCTACATATCTGTTATCTGCCTTATTTACTTTTTAATACAATATTTACTTAAATCACATTAACTGTATTTTTTTTTTTCCCCTGGTTTTACGTTTACTACACAAACTTTGGCTTCATTGTCTGCAGCAACAAAAAGGAAAACTGGAGTAGAAAATACCAAAGATTTCTTCCATAGATTCTTAACACATAACTTCAGACTTTTGCTGCTGCTGGTTTTGATACTGACACAGTAACCTATTCTTGACAAAATATCTAAAGTAGATATGCATATTTTACCAAAATCTTAAACCAAATTATTGTTATTTTTATGTGGGATTATTTCCTGCACAATTTGAGCATATACAAATTCTTATCATACTCATGATCAACATGACACAATAGTCAAGGTATCTGTAAATTAAAATAATCAAGATCTACAATCCATCCAGAATATTTCTAACATTGCCTGTGTTTTGCATACATCTGTCTTCAGACAAATAAGTCATGAAAGACTGTAACGAGTGGACCTACTGAACAACCAAGAACATAAAGCAATTTATTCAGCATTTGTTTTCCTATGTAACTATATTCACTTTTATTTGCATACACTTTGACTTCTCTTTGACAACATATTTCCTTGTATTGGATACATTTGTCTTGGCTGCTCAGGTCTAAGTACAGCAGGCTGCCATAACACACAGGTGAAATGTGTCTGTCCCTAAAGATGAAAAGACAACTCACCTGAGTAAAGTGGGTTGTGCAACAGAGCAACAAAATTTAACCCTTTCAATATGAACTAGTGCACTACAGCAGCATACATGGCAGCATGATGTGCACAGAAACAAGTGAAGGGATGTTTCTTTTTTTAAATAAGAGATCAAATGATAGCCTTGGGATAGTACGTGCAGTAGAGCTGAAGTGGACAAACACAGGTTCGTTTGCCACAAATGTACAGCAAACTCTTTGATAGAGACAAATGCTGCGTGTAGTTTTATTGACAAAATATCTGATAGGGATATTGCTTGCAATAAGAGAAGAGCTCTTTGTTGCACAAAATAATAGTTTCCAGAACACAGTCCATGTTGTCCAAAGAACTTCTGCCATGAAAGCTGTAGCTTTCTTAGGGTTTTTACCAGGATAATTTTGTAGTCAGAAATACATTTTTTTTCCCCACAAATGCCTCACACATTTTTATGGCATAGTAACGTTAGTAAGCACAGACCAAGCTACTGTTCCATCCTCCAGGACATGCTGATGAAATACATGGTATGATTAAACTCCCTGAGGTGACTGTTTAGTAAAGTACTTAATCTTCTATTAATTACTGTTATTTTCACTAATAGTGTACTGATTCTAACAGCACTTTGAAAGTTAGATTTTAGCGATTTTTTTTTTTTTTTAAGAAATAAAAAAACCCAGAAAACTAATATGTACTGCAAAAGTCTTCCAAAAGTGCCAAAAAAACAGCTGCCACATTACTTCAAACCACATCACATGGATAGTGTGTGAATTCAATACACAGTCTATGTTACATTATGCCACCCACTAACTCTGATGTAAGCCAGAGTTTTTGCAGAGTCTGACAAGAAAGCCTCAATACAGCAGCCAACATGTAGACAACTCTGACTTTTTGTTAGCTTGGTCTGAACAACACTGTTAGACAATCATTCCTTTTAAAAAAAAAAAAAAAAAAAAAAATTCAAAGCAGAAATTCCTTCAGACCATGCCAGTGGTTGAGGTTAATATCAACAATATACTTGACCTCAGTTTCTTTAATAAAACTGTTTTAAAATCTATTTTTCTTTTATCTGAACATTAAATAAGATTCTAATGTTTCTGGAGAATGTTGCTTATGGAACTTATGGAACATAAATAAAAATATAAAAGATTAGTTAAAGAAATATTAAAAAAAAAACAACAACAACAAAAACACAAAAACAAACAAACAAAAAAAACCCACAAAAACAAAACAACCAAAAACTTAAGGAAAAAATAACAAAAAAAGATAAAAAATAGGAAAAAAGCCCTTCAGAATTATTTTAATCACAACTACTTAACTACACAACTTTGCTACACCCTTAATCTAATTTATTCTCTAATTTCACAAGCACAATCTCATTAAAAAGTTTGTCTATTTTTTCTTATTGTATAACTATAAAAGCCCCTCATGAAGACCTTAATGCCTCCTTAATCAGAAAGGGAGTGTGTGAATAGCAACACTGAACAAATTCTTTAGAAAAATAAAACCAGACCTGACACTCAAAATCGACTGTTCTCACCAAATTAGCAAAAGTCTGCCAAAGATACATGATTACATCTGTTGGGATGCTTTACCTGTAAGAAGTGTTACTTCCACCCTTGGCATTTATGAATCTAAAATTCTAGACAGAGATTTTTGTTTTCTTTGTATGAATACTAATGTATATGCTACTAAAACACTAGCTACAGAAACAACCAGTTTGGTAAGTGATATTCTAACTTTCTACCACTGTGGAAATTAAGTTTTTTCTACCAGCAAAAAAGTAAATCACTGAACAATACCGTTTCCACTTCCTAGTAGTACATCCACTCACATTACCACCCTTTATGACAGACTAAGAAACATCCAATTTAGAGTGAAGTTTTCATACAGGTTTAGCTGAATATAGAACATGAAGGCTCTCCATATAATCAAAAATATTTAAAAGCACTTCAGAATTTAGGGAAAATTAAAAAAGATACCTGCCTATCTGTTCCACTAAGAATTCTTGCTGAATACACTCCTAGATAGGGCACACATACCTATAAGAAATAGAGATTCACAAACCCCAAACACTGTTCCTGAGGGTACATTCTTTGAAGCTCAGCCAGTGGAAATGTGGTTCTACTCCTGAAAAAAGTTGTAAGTGGAACACTGAATGCATTCAGTTCCTGAGTCTTAGTTTTAGAAACATTAAGGGCATGGATTATTCTAGCAAAGACTGGACGTAATCTGCCCCAGTGATTATTACAGAAAAATGAGAAGCTGTAGCTGGATGATAACATAAGAGGCTGAAGAATTTCAAAGCAGCAGCAGCCCAGAACACCTAGCTGGAATACAACTTTCTAAACTATTTTCTTCAGCAGTTTCTCTGAGATTAAAAAAAGAAATACAAACAGACACACACACCCCTCCTTCTATGCATTCTAATGGAAGTGCTTCCAAAAACTCTTTCAAAATGAGCACGACACTACTATTTTTCTACAGCTATGCACTATACATGATAGGCAGAGAGATCTTTCCCTGTGACGATAGCATATTAAAAGTATATAGTAACAATATATTATTATGGCCTATTTTTACAGTCTTGGGACTATAAACATGCACAGAAGGCAACTTAAATTTCAATTTCATTCAACTCTACAGCTTCCTTTTTTTCTTGCCCAGATTGGTTTGGGCCTCTGTTAAAATCATTTTAGACTGTCCCTAAAAATGCCATGATAACAAGTGAGCACCATAGCAGCTGTAAAATACTGTTTTAACTTAGAAGGATTAGTATCTGATTTTCACTTAAGCACCAGAAAATAATCCCTGGAATATAACCGAGGGAAGTTATTTTTTTCCTGACTGGAGTAACATTTCTAAGATAACAAAAGTATCTGAATATTAAGTTCAGGGCTTGAAAAAATCACAGTTTCATACTTTAATTTGCCTTTTATGCTGTTTACATTGGCCTTTTACATTGTTTAAATGGTAAGTGTAGAGTAAAGCAAGTCTCCTCATGGATTTTTTGAGATTTACTGAGGTTTATTTGGTCAGTGACTGCTAAACTAATCTTTGTCAGAATCTCCCAAAGGCATCTTCACTTTTCTCCTCTCCTCACTTGACTGGCTCTGTTCCAGCTACATTTCACTGCTGAATAATCTTACCTAACAACAAATAGTCACTTGACTATAGAATTTAATTATTAAGTCACTGCCAGTAGTTTTGCAACATGATTTCTCTGATTGTAAGCAGAACTATTTCCTGTGG